CCCCGTTCTGCCATCTCTTCCCCGCAAGTCTTATCCACATGTATATCTTACTTCACTCAACTTAACCTCAATCAAATCACTTCAATCTCCTAGCAACCCAATTCCCAATTCAATTTGCAAAAAGACAGATTTGGAAATGCCCTTAGACACAATATATCTGACCCGCCATGGCGTATGTCATCAACCAATCCCTTACAGCCCTACAACCCACTCTCCAATTGCTCCCTGCATCCCCGGTTTTATACCATCCATAACTAACCCATGAATACGCATACAGCACCGCCTAAACTGGACAATCAACTACCAAACCGGCGAATACAAATCGCAATTCCCAACGCCGACAGGAAACCCCGCGGACCCGACCCTCACGTCGCACGGCGTGCGGCAGTCGCGCGAGCTGGCGGACCATTTGGTTAGTGAGAGGGTCGTGCCGAAGCCGTTTCGCGTTTATAGTAGTCCGTTTTATCGGTGTTTGCAGACTATTCAGCCGGGGGTGGAGGCGTTGAAGGTGAGGATAGGGAAGGATGGGAGTGGGATTGATGAGGGGGCGGTGTTGGATGTTAGGGTTGAGAATGGGGTTGGGTTAGTATTTACTTCTCCCTCTTTCCCTTACCTCTCTTCGTCGCAGACGAACATCAAAAGAAATGAAACAGACGAAAAGGAAACGGGAAGTCCAAAGCTAACACAAGTATAAAAAAAAAAAACAGAGAATGGTTCGGGCCAACCTCCTTCTTCCACCACCCATCACCCTCCACGCTCTCGACCCTCAAAACGCACTTCCCAACCATCCTCCCAGACACAGACACAATACCCCCCCAGCAACAACCAAACGTGATCCCCTCCACCCGCGGCGAAACCATCGCCCAGCTCCACGACCGCCTCGCAACAGCCCTATCGTCCATAATCGCCGACGTCGACGCCGAGGTAGCCGCCCACGAGCAAGCCACCGGCTCGCACTCCAGCAAAGCCATCCTCATCTGCTCGCACGCAGCGCCTCTCATCGCTATCGGCCGTGCCTTGACCGGTAACATGCCTGATGATCCGGACGTGGAGGACTTCAATGTTTTTACGGCTGGGTTGAGTACTTTTCGGCGGAGGATGCCCTCGCCTGTCGAGGGTGCACACGGCAGTGGTAATAGCGGAAGCAACACATCCTCCCTCGCACCAGGAACAAAACTCACCAAAGACACAATCACGGTCCCGCAATGGCGAGGCGGCCGTGGTGTCGGCGGGGGGTGGGACTGTATCGCGAATGGGGACTGCAGTTTTCTGAGCGAGGGTGCTGAACGGGGGTGGTATGTTTTTTTTCTCTATTTCTCACCCTCCTTTCATCCTTTCTTCCTTCTTACGTTTTTTCTTTCTTTCTTTCGCCTACCTCGTTCATTCCGTCCTACCACGTTCACTCCTCCTACAACACCAATAACGATACTGATTCAAATACGATAGGCACTTCTGCGGCGAAGAATCCTTCGATACAGGACCGATGGCTCCACCTTCTGCGTTCCCGACTTCGGGTCGGGATTCCTCCATTGAGGCGTCTAGGACGGGGACAAAGCTTTGATTGGTATTGGTCCATCTTGTTATATCTGAGGTTACTAGTATATAGACTGGATAGACTAGGTCGGTGGCAAGGCAGGTAGACTCCCTGGTTTGGAGACCTGCGGATTGATAGATAGATGGACAGACAGACAGACAGACAGACAGATATGTAAATAGGCAGATACATATATACATACATAGAAAGATACCGACGGGCCAAGTATAGAGATGAATACCCTTCGTTGGTTTTACAATCTGTCCTCTGTGTAGCTGTTCTCGACAAGAGTGTTCGGGACTCTTTCGAGGGGTGGTGTGAATATACACCAGCAAGGTAGGTCTGTCTACCTACCTAGTGACTTGGTGAAGTAGGATAGATAGTATGTACCAAGTAGTGCATTCATGCTATCATCATTGCCCTCACGCTTTGTATTCACTAACACTCAAGTTCAATTCGCTTAAACGCCAACAAATCTCAAATCTTATGTACACTGACAACTACAGACATAGATACAAATCGAATCGTCACCAAGTGAAGCCAAGCCAAGCCAAGCCAAGCCAACGACGAGAGGGATCGATCAAGATCCAGAGGCTACAGAGATGACCGGAAAATAAGATGACAAAAAAAAAAGAAGCAAATAAAAAAAAGGCGAGCGTGGAACAGGAGATAGGGATAATCCAATCTTCTCCGTCTTTCAAATGTCCGAGTCTGACTCCCGTCTAGAGTGTCTAGAGTAGAGCTTGAAATAGAACTGAAACAAACTAGAGATAGACCTAGCGGGTGGAAATCCAATTGTTCGATGTTTGTAGGGGGTATCATGTATTGCGGAAGGGAAAGGGCATAACTATTCATTGTGTAGGTGGGGTTCAGCGCGAGCGGCTTCAACTGGTGGATGGTCGTTGGGGGCGTTTCCCGGAGGATGGTTTTCAGCTCCGGGTGCAGATTGACTTCCCCCATCCGGATTTTGTTCCTGCCCGGGCTCTTGTTCACGGTTCGAATCGGCCTCCTGGCGACGGGCGTCCTCTTCTGCCCTGAGGCGCTCTTCATTCCGAGCAGCTTCCGCTGCCTGGCGGACTGCTACCTGCCGTTCTCCCACGCCGGGAACGAGACTGGCTAGGAATAACGCGGCGGAGCGCTCGAATCGACGCACGCCGCTGACAAAGTCGGCGAGGCTGACGCCGGCAATTCTGGTAACCCGGTTGTCTGCGTTCGGCGCACCAGCCGCGTGTGTGTTGGGTGGATGTTCATTTTCTAAAGGATGGGCCAGTCCCTCCAGGTGCTCCTGCAACGGCGTGACCAGGGTGCGGTACACTTGTTGGGGAATGGTGGTGTCGGATAATAGCGCGACCAGGATGGCCGTGGCCACGTAGATCGCCCGTGTCCAGGTACCCGGCTCGCTGAGCATGTAGCAGAAGAAATACAGACGGACGAACAGCCACATGCGTCGGACGTAGCGTGCCACGCCCATCTGGTCGTTGTTTCCGGCCCGCTGGTTGATCAAGGCCTGGCGGACGGCATTCTCCATGACCATGGCGTTCGGGTTCAGGTTCGCGGGGTTCGGGTTGGGGTCCGGGTTGGCTGTCGGCACGTTGGGCAGCGGGGTGGTGGTCGGGGTGGGCTGCGGGATCTGTCCTGCGCGGAAGGCGGCCATCGACGTCGGGATGATCTGTGTTTCCGGGGACGCCACGAGCGCTTGATACCCGTCTGGGGAAGTCAACAGATACACGGGAGCCCTTTCATGACTGCGTTCGGCCACGTTCGTGGCGGTTGGTCCGCTCCCACGGCTGAGGCGAAGGGTGTCGGCACGACGGTAGATGATGGAGAGACGATCGAGGAGATGCTCGATTTCGCCATTGCGCGGCATTAGGGGATTCTGGGTCTGCTCATCCAGGCATTCCAGAAGCTGAGTACGGGCAGCGATAGTCGTCTCCAGCGATGGGATCAGTCCTTCCCCGAACTCTGCTTCCATCTGCTCTATGCGAGGCCGGACGGTGGCCAGAACACGGTTGACTTGTTCAGCGCGCTGCGCATGTGTCCCGGAGATTACCAGTCTCGGCATGTTCGAGGCATTCGCTGCGGACAACGAGTGTGGGTGCCATTGGTGCCAGGGCACTGGAGAAACGGGGCTTGCGAGCTCCCGAGAAAGGTGAGTGGGTCTTGGTCGCGCTCCTTCTCTTGCGTTGAGCTGTTCGCGTATGATCTCAATGTTGCGGCGAAGTGCATGTCCCAGCTCGGCCTCATTGACGGTCAGAGGAGCCTGCTGGCCTCTCAGTCGCAAGCCTTGTTCAAACTGCGGGGGACGGCCGGGCAACGCGGTAGTCTGGGGAACCGATGAGGCTCCGTTCGGGATCAGTGATTCGGCGCCTGTGGCCGCAAGAGGATTGGGTGGAGGGGCCGGGGGCAAGACGAGGTGGATCGAGTGCTGTGAACCCTGAATAGACACTTGTCAGTCGCATGTATCGTAGGCGGACGGATTATCCTTACCTCCTCTGGCTCCAGAATCGACTGCAAGGTCAAGCCAATATCGACAACCGGTCTACCGCTGTAAATCAGGCGCTGCGATTCCGGGACGGGATTTCCGGGGATTTTCGCCTGGATGAGGCGCTTCAACTCCGCGATGGAGGTGGATGCGGCAAGGTTGTTGAAGCTGAATCGGCCAGGAGGAGGGAGCGAAGGACACAGGACATGCAGCGTGAAGCCCAGGGGATTATTAGCTCCAGGGTCTCCGGCTGCATGGGGCGAATTCGCCGTAGGTTCAACCATAGAAGGCATTCTCGTTTGGACGCTTGCTTGTTTGGTCTAGTCTAGCAACGACCCATAGTATGCAGTGTGGCAACACGCGGGACCGATGATTTGACGGACGTTAGTAGATAAGAGAAAGAAAAACGAATGTGACCGCTGAGATCAAACAGATGAGCGTCTAGTCAGATTGGCCAAATGACTCTAATCACTGTCTAGATAAGGTAGGTAGGTTGCTGGGGGGCTGGCTCTGAAGCGGTTGGGTGTCCTCTTCCGTAACGGGAGGATGCGCCGGCCCAACCCCGGGATTTCCACCTGGATGAAGTGAGCAGAAGTCCCACGATAGAGACAGCAGTGGGGAACAGTGGAAAACAAAAGATGGGAAGAGACAAGGATAAGAAGAAACGATGAGAGGAAACAACAACAAGACAGAGAGAGAGCGAGAAGTAATCAGGATAAACGACAGGCCAATCATGAGCCGTGAAGGCGGTGTGCTGTTCTGCTGATTATTATAGGCGGTCAGAACGGGCGGTGAGGAGTTCGCGATATCATCTTGTTTGACTTTCTCTTTTCACTCTTTCCTTAGTTTTTATATGTCTATATATCTAGAAATACATATCTCCATGCCTATCTATAGTCTAATCTCTATTGCAGATGATGGTGCAAAGTGATCAAAGAATGACATGTATGGACCAAGTAAGAGAGAATCGGAAACTTGATCGATTCATCCACGATGGATTCCTGGTCGTATGCAGGGTCTATGTCAGGTTAGACCGATTCCCAGAGTAAGGCAGAGCGCATGGGCTGTAGCTACAATTTTTCAATCGACACTCAGCGGAACAAAGAAGCATCTCTGCTGTTCTCATGGATCTGGTTGATATCCCGCCAGCACGTGATATCGCGGAGGGACGCGCCGCCCAACGAACCCACCTAAGCTCCTTCCATCTATCAGATCGACAACCAATCGACAGACCCAGAGCTTCAAACACTTGGAGCCACCCGATAAAGCTCTCAACAATGCCAACATAATACACAGCCCTTTCAAAGCAAACAATACCATAACCCTCCACCATGCCCCGTCACCAACACCATCTCTTCCGCCGTCAACAACAGCAACCCCCCGCGACGACGCCCTCCGTCCGCGGCGACTCCCCCCATCCGCGTCCCCCGCGCGCCCACCTCGGCCATGCCTCCGCCCACCTGCAGTTCCAGACGCCTCCGTCTCAGGCAATCCCCCAGCTTCATCCGTCGTCCGGGGCCTTCGAGGCTTCAGACCGCGACCCCGTCTACCCCAATGTCGCGGCGCAGGCGGCAATCTTCTCCATGTTTGGACGGGGTGTCCCTAGTCGGCACTTACAGCCGGGGGCCGTAATGGACGAGGGACAATTCGAGGACGAAGAAGAGGAGGAGGAGGAGGAGGAGATGGGGGAGGACACGATCAATGGATATCACAGGGACTTTGATGTGGATGCCGAGGGGAACGTGGTCGATGCGTCAGAAGAAGAGATGGAAGGGATGGTAGGGGACGATATAGAGGAAGAAGAGGATTTTGTCGAGGAGGACGAGATGATGCATGATCGAGGTATATATGCACTATTCGCAGGTCCCCATCAAACGAGAACAAGACGAACACTAACAACACCGGATCGATAACAGAAAAATCACCCTCCCCCCTCCCAGCCAATTTGCGCGAAATCTCCTCCCTAGCATCTTGGACCGTCTCAACACACAAACCCGGCTGTGGCGTATCCGCACTGCGCAACCCGTCCCCCTCACAATACTGGCAATCCGACGGGCCCCAACCCCACACCCTCACCCTACACTTCTTCAAGCTCGTCGCGGTGGTCAAAATCCGCGTCTACCTCGACTTCGACATGGACGAAAGCTACACACCCACCAAGATGAACTTCCTAGCCGGCATGGGCGGCAACGACCTCGTCGAGTTCGCAACCTGGGAAGGCGAAGGCCCCTGCGGCTGGGTCGACGTGCCTCTCGAAGGCGTCGGCGGCCGCAGCGAAGGCTGGGTGCGCAAGAAGCGCCGACGGCGTCATCCAACAACCACCAAACCCCACAAACCAACAACCGACCACAACCGGCGCCATCGCGGGCCCACATCCTCTAAAGCCTGGCCCGACTACATATTCTCCGACGCAGACAACCCCGTCGAATACGACATGGACGCCTACGAAGACGACGCGGACGAAACCGCCGACGAAGACGACGAAGACGACCCCTACGCAGGCAACGTTCTCAAAGCCATGGTCCTACAAATGCGCATCATGGAGAACCACCAGAACGGGAAAGACACCCACGTGCGCGGATTCCAGGTCTTCGCCCGCGACGACGACCGTCGGCGGATGGGCAACGCCCCGTCTGCGTCTGCTGACGGCCGCGTGCGCAGACATAGTGCGCGCCGCTCGCTCAGAGGGAGTACCCAGGATGATGGGCTCGATGGGCGGAGTGGTGGCGCTGATGTTGATCGGGGGAAGGTCTCTGGGTTGGAGGAGCCGGAGTGGATGGGGGAGCCTGTTATTCGGTAGTATTTTGTCTTGTGGGGGGTGGGGGTTTGTTTTGTTCTAGGGATAATGTTGTTGTTCGGAGTTAAGTTGAGAATTCAGATACCCATGGTTTATTCATTGCCTTGCTATACTCACACCTTCTAGTTCCATCCCAGCTACATATTTATCTGGTCTATGTACGGTCGTACATCTCACATCATCGCATACTAAGCGAATAAAAGAAAACAAAACCTCAAAATCTATTCATCCATGCATTGTTTTATTATTATTCATTTAATAAATTTCATCAAGAACCCGAAAAGGAAAAGAAGAGGAAGTTCAAAAAGAATTACTTCAACAACTTCTCCAACTCAGCAGCAACAGCATCACCGACCTGCGCGGTGGTTGCCTTGCCGCCGATATCGCCGGTCTTGACACCGGATTCGATCACGTTGCTGACGGCCTTCTCGATGGCGCGGGCTTCGTCGAACAGGCCGAAGGAGTACTGCATCATCATGGCGATGGAGAGGATGGCTGCGACGGGGTTGACGATGCCACGGCCGGCGATGTCGGGGGCGGAGCCTTTTATTCAGTTTGATTAGGGTTGTGATTCATTTGCATATTATGAGGGGGGAATAAGAGAAGGGAAAGAATATAGGGTAGAAAAGGAAGGGAAAACATACCGTGGATAGGCTCATAAATACCATTCACCCTGCTCTTACCGTCAGGGATGCCGCTCAGACTAGCAGAGGGCAGCAGACCCAGCGAGCCGGGGATAACACTCGCTTCGTCACTGATGATATCACCGAACAGGTTGCTCGTGACAACGATGCCGTTCAGCTTGCGCGGGTCCTTGACCATGATCATAGCAGCGGAGTCGATGAGCTGGTGTCCGATCTGCAGCTGAGGGAACTCCTTCTCCATGACCTCGGTGACGACCTTGCGCCACAGACGGCTGGTAGCCAGCACGTTGGCCTTGTCGAGACTCCAGACGGGCAGGGGCGGGTTGTGCTGCAGGGCCAGGTGCGCGGCCAGACGGATGATGCGCTCGATCTCGACCCGCGAGTAAGGCTCCGTGTCCATAGCGAATCCGCTGCCGTCGTCCTCCTTGCGCTCGCCGAAGTAGATACCGCCCGTCAGCTCGCGGATGATGTTGAAATCGACGCCCCGGCAGACGTCGGCCCGCAACGGAGAGCTATCGACCAGGGAGGGAGCGGCGAAGTTGCATGGTCGCAGGTTGCCGAAGGTGCCCATCTCTTTGCGGAGCTTCAGGATGCCCTGCTCTGGGCGGACAGCGCCCGTGCCCCATTTCTGTTCCCTGTTAGCATCTTTCCTGTTTCTTTTCCCTCTCGATCTCTCCAATATGGTGCACACGTACCGGTCCACCAATGGCACCCAAGAGAACGGCGTCGGCGTTCTTAGCGGCGGTGAGGGCTTCGTCCGTCAATGGCGATCCAGTGGCATCGATCGAAGCCTGTACAGTCTTGTGTAAGTGTACGGTCACATTGAAGCATTTTCAGGAAGGAATGTCAAGCACTTACACCACCGAGCAGATGATCCTGGAGGTTGAACGACACACCCTCACGGGCCTTCTCAACCACGCGGAGAACCTTTATGATAATTAATTTATGAGCCCTCCCTGGCTTTGTAACCAATACGATACTCCATTCATACCTTAACAGCCTCCGCGGTCACCTATCACCAGAGTCAGGTCAGTACGTGCTCCTCGCATCAGAACTCAACAGTGTGGTGGGGCCATACCTCAGGACCGCAGTGATCACCACCGAAGACGACAACATTGTAGGGGGCCATGATGGTCAAGAGTTATCGGGAGATGAGCAGAAAACAAGAATGAATCAATAGATATCGCAAACAGAAAGACCGAATGAATCAGGGAATAAATATCGAAGTGAAATAAATGGCGGGGTGTCCGAAGCTCCGATCAGTTTCCCCCCACGCCGCCGACACCGGAGAGCGCTGGTTACTAAGCTCAAGCATTGTTATCATCATTGGTCACATTCCATCAGGGAGTCTCCACGTCCCCTGCCAAAATAAAACTACATACTGTTTCCTACTCTTATACACAAGGATCCGAAGACAACAGGGAAGAAGTAGCAGCAGGAGCAAAAAGGAAAAATAACAACAAAAATTAAAAAGAGAGAAATAACCATGCCAGAAAATAAATCTAATCACAAGAAGTATCAAGAGGTAAAAGTAAAGAAAATAAAAGATATAAAAGATTGGAAATAAGAAGACAGAGAAAAAAAAAAGTAGAGAAAAGAAAAGTATACTAAAAATCCATACTCGAAAAGGGTCAGGGACGGTCCGAACGAACACAGCCGCCCAAGTCTTCCCACCAGATCCGATACCCTCTGGATCTGCAGGAGAAAAGCGAAAAAAAGACAAGGGCTGCTCACGATCCCCAGAAATCAGCCAGAGCACCAAAACCATGCACAGAGAAGATGATACGGTCAAAGAAAGAACGTGGGCGTCAATCACGGGATGCCCTGTCCGGATCAACAGCCCCAAGGAAAGGCAAGACCAATCCACCGGACCGGTCGTCCAGCTCAGTTCTTCTTCCCCTGGCGGGCCGCCCGACGGTTGGCGACGTCGCCCTCCACCAGCCACTTGCTGGCTTTGACCATCTGCACGACGTTGATGAACTGCTTCAGCGCCATGATGGGAGCGGAAACACCGGTGATCACCCACGGCCAGAAGCTGTCGATCTTGTTGGCGCGGGCCAGCTCCAGCGCTCCGGCGCTCCAGGGGTTGTCAGAGCCCTGCACGGGCTGGAGCAGGGATGGGGAGAGCATCGGCGACGAGAAGGACAGGAGGTAGAGGCCGATGAAGAAGATCTCGTTGGCAGCGCAGCAGATGAACAGCACAGTCTAGGAAATGGGTCAGCATCGAAGATGTCGTGTTGAGCGAGTGTTCCGCGCCGTCGAACGCACCTTGCTATGGTAGTACCAGTACAGGACCCAGCTGCGAGTGGCCTCGACGTTCTTGTGGCTCTGGCCGGACCCCCCCATGCTGAGGGTGGCGTACATGTGCATGTAGTGGCTCGCCATGTCCAAAGAGATCAGACCCTGGAAGACGATCGCCCAGCGCGGCCAGGCGGAGCTCAAGAAGACCAGGAGGCACGCGGTCGTGCAGCGGTCTGTTACCATGTCCAAGACGGCACCGTACGTGGTAGACTGTTTAAAGTACCGAGCGGCATATCCGTCCAACGCATCCAGCAGACACGAGACACTGTAGAGGATGGAGCAAGTCCGAGGATGGAGGGGCATGTAATAAAGCGACGCAATGGCGAGGACGATTCGGAAGTAGCCTAGTCCCAGTCAGAGGGTCATTGCGAGTCGGCAGGGAGGGGTAAGACAGAGAGCAGGAAGCTCGTACCGATGAGATTCGGAGCAAACAAAAACACGTTTTCTTTCTCCTCCTCGCTCTGCGCGACGTCGCTCTTCAGTGGCTGTTGCACCGAGCCATTACTGGACAGCAACTCATCGGCCTGGGCGGCCTGCGGTTCCGTTGTTCGCGAACTCATTATATCTAATATGCGGGTGATGTAGTGGGAAGGGAAGTTTTTGTTGAGGAGAGAGATCAGAGAAATGAGTGTACGGTGAACCGAAAACCAGCGGAGTCGTCACGGAGGTTGGTTGGGTGGGAACAGGAGGTCGTTCCGAAGGTTCCACGGGGTGCCGAGCGCGTTGTCTGTTCAAAATGAATGTGTGGTGGCCTAGAAAGTCAGGTGTACAGGACTCGTCAGCAAAATCAGATCGGGGATCTCCTCAAGCTGCGATGGTCTTACAGCGTCAAAGGAGTGATAACTATTGCCACCGAGATGTGTGTCTTGAAGCAAATGCACTTACACGTAGATGCCTCGTGCCAAACCTTCCAGAAACGCCCTAATTTTTTTTCCGGGCCCGAGCTTCGATCGACAGGGATTGGGAGGGAACGCAGACGGCAGCTCGACGTGGGAGATCTGCCAGATCAGGGGAACCAGAACAGTGGGAAGATGGATGAGATCAAGGAGATCCCTGGATGGAACGATTTAGGATTCGATGTGTCGTCAGGGGAAAACCGGGGAAAGATTGATTGTTATTTGGCCATGTGTTGAGGGAGGGTTGGCGATAAGGTTGATATGATAAGCAAGGCCAACTTCCCCTTTTAATGCAGGATCCTCCTTAGCCGTAGTTGGTTCAATCCACCAGTCTGGGTGCAGGGGACAGAATGACGGTGAGGAAGAAGGTGAAGAAATAGGGGATACCAAATGGATTTGAGGTGGGATGACCACAGCCCCGTGGTGGCCATCACGGAACTATCAGGTGATATGAGGTCGTCATTGGCTGGCAACCTCAGGCTGACGGTGACGAACCTCAGGCATCAAAAATGACTGAACACTGGCTGTTTTCGGCGACCAGTTACATTGCCATATATTACATATTGGTATAGCCGTGGAGTCACATCAGTAGGTGGTTATAGAAATATTGCATAGGTGGTGCAGGAAGAGATCCCTAATCTGGAGGCAGAATTCAAATCCAACATCGATGATATAATAGTAATATACATGTATATTTGTTTTTATTTACTAGGCCTAGATCTCGATATCAAGTAAGAAAATTATGATTTTTTGTATAGATGGTTCCTTAACCTGGCCTACCCTACTGATCACCCACTCTTAGCGGTCATACCTAGCCTAGTACCCTGCTCATGTTCCGCCCTAGTTGTTGCCAAAATTGCAAACGAATACCTCGCGCAACCAACATCATAATATCCACCTTTGTCACCATCCTTATCACACGGCTCGTATATGGACTGCATGAGTGACTCGCAGGTGTTCTTGTCATCCTTCCCCAAAGGAAACTGAACATCAAGCTCCGTGACCTCGCTCTTGCAATTCTCTTGCCACGACACCGAGTACTCGTAGGCGTTCTTATCCCTCGTTTCATCCACGTTGGTTTTCTCAATCGTCTTATCGCCGGCTTTGATCTTCTTGCCTGCCGTCGACTTGCAGAACTCCGCGCCCCACTTTTCCTGGAGCTCACTGTTTACCTTGCCGCCGGAGACCGCACTGATGTCTTTGGGGCCCAAGCAGGTGTGTTTCACATCGAGTCCGCTCGGATCTTTGGATCCGTCTGTGATCTTGAGGCTGTACTCGTCGCCGCATTTGAAGGTCGCTTTGGCTTCGGGCTTGATGGAGTGGCTGTCGTATCCGGAGCCTGTAGGGCCTTGTTAGATGACAATCCTGGAGTGTGAACGATATCTGTGTGAGGTGGTTGAGCTGAGTCCTTACATATCATATCGTGCACAGTTTCCTTGCACTCAGACCAACATTTGTTTCCGGCCTTGTAGTTGAACTTGAAGGTGTACTGTTCCCACTTGAGCTCCTTGCTCGTGTCCTTGGATTTCTTGTCCAATTTGTCACAGTACTGGTCAGCCAATTCGTATGCTTGTTTTCTCGAGATTGGAAGGGCGTCGCTGTAGGTGCCGCTGCACTTGGTCTCTGGCTTTTGTTTATATTTGTCGGGGTTGTCATAAATATCCTTCAGCTTTTTGAGCTTGTCCAGCCCCTGCTTCATCTTGTTGATATCTCTTTGCTGCGGCGGGCCAGCTTTGGCAACAAATGCGCATTTGCATCCACGGAACTTTCCCTATCCAGGCGGTCAGCGTGGGGGAGCGCAGATCAGGCTCATGGACATATCACAAACCTCTTTACAGGTCTCATCATCTTCACTCTTGCACTCATCCTCTTCGCAGAGAACGATTTCGTTTTTCTCGGGGTCTGGGCAGTTTTCGCTGCACTTGCAATCAGCTTGAGGACCCTATATCATAGTCAGTCATGACTTCCCCACGCCACATATCCACTGGAACTCACCGTGGTGCACTTTCCATCCTCCCCTAGACATATCTCATTTTTACACTGGGGCACATCGTCGCTATCATCATCAGGACATTCATCCCGACACGGACAGCCGGCCCGGGGCCCTTCAGTGCACCACCCTGACTTGTCTTTGCAATCCTTGCACCACGTGTCGGTGAAGTCCTCCGGGCAGCTGTCTTGGTCGTGGGGATTAGGCACCCCCTCGGGAGGAAAAGAGAAACCGGGCGGGGGAGGAGGGAATGGGATTATGAGAGGCACTTTGCCATTGCCGTCGCTGATGTCACTGTTAATAAGGCTTTCCCTTGCACCCACCAGCAGAAAGTAACATACCCCTTGTTCTCCCCACATCTGCAATATTGCGGTGCTGCAAGAACCCATTGACCATGCGATTTCGATGTTCGATATATCGGGCGCGCACAATAGCCCTTTTTCCTCTTGTGCTCGCCTCCACATAACTTGTCATCGCATCTCCATGGTTCTTCGTTGACGTCCTCACGGCAATAGTATGCAGCGGAGTAATGGTCAATCTTCGCGCAGACCCTGGAGGTCAAAGTGAGAAAGCCCAAGACAAAGAGAAACAGACGAAGCATGGTGAGCGAACTGGCAGAAGTGAAAGAAAAGAACCGGTGGATGGAGATATCTCGACTCCGAGTTCCAATACCGCATCTTATAGAATCCTGAACGCTCTCGACAAGCTGCCTTCAAAACATCCAATTCCCTCCAAAGTGCCGTGCTATAGTTGGATATCCGCAAGGCATACTCGCTACGGGAGACTAGGGTTGAATCTTGCACCATGCCATGGCCAGCAAACATTGAAGCCAAGCAGACATGATATTTTCTTGGACCCCACGTTGCAACAGGGGTTATGAATCCCTGTATATGCTTGGAGGCGCAGGCGGGAACGGTGGGGGCCCCGAGGGACCATTTCCTTTATGCGGATGGAAGCGGGGCCGTTTTTGCATCTCTATTCAGACACTAAGTTTCGACAGGGATGATCCATCCAGTAACCAGAACCCAACAATTTTTTAGGGTCAGGCTCAATAGTTCCTGGGGCTGAGTGCACTTGAAAGTGCTAGTGGGATAAGTCTAGATTCAACTTGAGACCCCGAAGCCATGAGGAGTCGTGTTGAACTAGGTCAAAGATATCACTTTGTTGCAGGATTCTCCTATGGTAATTATAGATGCAATTTGGGGCGGAGGCGTGATGGCATAGGCTCGTAGTCTGCACTTGACGAGAACCGATCAACTAAGCGAATGAGACTGGCCCAGGAGCAGCTCGTCAAATACTTTTAAAAGGACCTCAGTAAACCCGTGGAATCTCATATGCTTTTTTGTCTTGTTTTTTTTTTTTTTTTTCTTACCATCTTCCAGTGTCTTCAGTTAACCAACGCCTGTTGTTTGCAAGCATACCAACCATGCAGGTCAAGTCCGCCTTCTCCGCCTTGGTCTTTTGCGCTATTCTCACCCCGACCTGGGCTGGGTGGTCAATCGACAGATCGTGTGGTCGTAAGTTGGGTTGTTCAAGTTTCGCATTCAGAGTCCCGCTAAGTTTAAGATTAGCTGTCACAGGCAACATTGAAAAGGCCATAAAGAACATCATGAAGTGGCCAGCAGAGGTCACCAAGTCTCTAGGGAAAGACAAAGATGTCAATGAATTCGCAGCACGTTTGTTCAACACGGCAGACTTCGAGTACGTCAAAGGTAGGATTGACATCTTACCCACGGTATCCATCCCTACTGATCACGCCGTTTGTTCCCCAGATATTATTTCGAAGATTGGCGCTCAAAGCGCCATGGGCAACAGCCAGGTCGATGATCCGGTGAGCCTCTTCTCTCTTCATAGGCCTATCATCGTTGTGTTAATTGAGGATATAACTACAGATAATCTATTGCACGCAGGACCGACTTGAGGAAAGGATTCGGGCTTCAAACCAGGAAAAGTATTATTACGACACCTTAGGTAAATTCACTGTCGACAAGGATACATACGAGGGTTGCGAGGACAAAGATACTTTTGGCTATACGACCGCTTTTTGGGAAAAGACCAAATCAGGGAAAGGCCAGACAACTATGCAACTATGTCCCAAATATCTCAAGGATATTGGCCAGACACCGATACTCGACGGCAAAGGCAAGCCGCAGAACAAGAAACTGCACGATAGCTACGAAAAGTTGAAAATGATGCACGGAACTGATATTCACATCAACGACTTTGCGGGTCTTGAGCTCACGCTTTTCCATGAGGTACGTTCAACATCTACAATGGAAAAGGACAGCTTGCTGTGATATATATCATCCGGTCATTCTAACGAGGGGTGCGCAGTTTGTCCACACGCCCAAGGTCAGGCCAAAGCCGCAAATTATGGATCATGGATACTTCTGGAATGATGCGACGGGGCTATCCAAAGACAAAGCCCTTGATAATGCCGAGTCTTATGCGCTTCTAGCTCTCGGTAAGTATCAAAAAAGGATATGGACATACTATAAAAGAAAGACAGGCTGACAAAAAGACCTAGGGACTTGGCTCATCAACCAAAGAGCGGCCCATATTCAAAGTGACGGTACGATAGAGTGGCTGGAAGATGAATTGGCGATGAAGAAACGCACTGCGCAGCCTTGGACTGCCTGAACTGCCTATTTAGTGTGTTGTGATTTGATAATGGGCTTATATAGTAATGGCTTGTACGTTTAGATGGAGGCTTACAATTGAATGCCATATAACTACTCGAAATGCCTTTCTCTGGATCGCATGAGAACATCTATCTATCTTCTAGAAATAATTACACCAAAGCAACCAGTGTTCGTCTGTCTACTTCAAAATCACGACGTCTGTAGACTGCTATAATATGGCTCCACATTACCCTCGTTCTTTCTTTCTTTCTTCTTCCTTTCCTCCACAGAAACAAAGCCAACAGTAGCAAAAAGAGAAGATAACATCAGGGCAGCGACTGTCAGGCAATATTACTCCCTCTGACAACCATGCCACAGAATCACTCTCACATCCTACCCTCTGCTCTAACCAGATACAGCCAGTCCACCGGGTGTACTTACACAACTATATTCCCCAAGGCACACAGAGCTCCATAGTCAGAAAGCTAGCGAGATTTCTCCAAGGCTGGAGGAGGGACGGGGACGCCATTTGCCGGGAAGCAGCCGTCGCAGAACCCCAAGATTAGCTTACGGCCCCCACTGCGATTCTCGTATTCCCCCACTCAGAAAAAGGGGGGAAGAAAAAGAAAGAGAGAAAATAAACATCGGATTGACACCGACGCGGGGGAGACATATGGCCAGCCAAGATCTTCGGCATTTTAGAGAAGTTCCGGGCCCAGCAGGCACACCACACCTTCGCGAGGCTATGCAGGTAGTGGGAGCTGTGGTGGTGGCAGTGGATTAGTACAGGGCATGTGTGTGCTTCTTCATATTTACATTTGGATTATTATTCCCTTTTTCCTGCATATGCAGATTTTTATAGGGAGGTAGTAGCCCAGCTCGTGACTCTATGCCTGTTTGGCTAGTAGTTACGTGGGCAGTGTCTTTTCTGACAGAGTGCATCGTTTGAAGTGAAAAGTCTGGATTTAGCATAAGACGCAAAGATACCACTCAGCTACAAAAGATATCTAGACACTCCTGAGCTCTGTGGGTATCTTTTTATGTACTATCTTATTTCTGACATACTCTCATAGATATTACAGATTTTTTATGACTGTCATATCTGAATCTTCACATACCAGTAGCTATACACTAGGCTCATTCTTTTAGACTAATCTACGGCACACTTAGGTCCCCTATATCTTAAATTTACAGGAAGTAAATATTCTTACTAGGTTTTAAACCTGTAATCTCAGGATAATAGAAAGAGTTTAACATGCTAGCAAAGTGCTATCAGGTTCATAACTAATATGAAGAATACCACTCAGCTACCAAAGATATCTAGAGACTTCTGAGCTCTGTTGGTACCCTCATATAGCTATCTTATATGGCGACAGCATAATTGTCCCCACAGAGTTCAACAACCCGAAGGAGCCGCTAATTGCTCCTCAAATATACTTTTATCGATATTAGGTTTTTTCAAGCTGGAAATGACCCGCTACCTTGGACGAATAAGTGTTATAACATCTTTTATAGTCGAATGATATGGGCTTTTCCTGTACCACAGGTGAGTACCGGCACCTCGAGGTCTGATTCTCGTGTCATCCTACAATTCACCATTTACCCTATCAAGTTAGTCCAGGCACTACGATTATTCGCGGGAGGCGGCGCAAGATCCCGGCGCATTCTCGCAATCCTCCGTGATGGCCCCCACGTTTGCCGCAAGGGCCTTGACGGGTTGTATATGGGTGAGGATGATCGTCATTGGATAGAGTTTGGCGTGAAAGGCGCTATAGCCATATCAGCCTCGCCCATGCCTACCATAGGTACCGGCCAGATTACTGGCACATCCACTTGATTCTTGGACTGGTCGAAGCATCATTTTATACCATCCTAAGTAGGCATCCGAAGTCACGTCGTCGAGTTTTGGTCATGTATTTGAGGGCTGTGCCTGCGCATGAAGGTTTGTTTCTTGGGGGAAAGCGGTCCTTTCCTGTCTCCTTCCCTAAGCCACCCCCAAAGGCGTCTGGATGCGACGTTACATGACGTGGATATCATCATATGTTCAAGGTAGTAATTGATGATATTGGCCATTTATGTGAAGGTCTGTGGTGTGGCATGAGCGAGGCCGGTATGGCTGTAGGGCCACTCTTTAGCGTTCCCTCACGAAAATATGACGGCTGTTTGAGTTTTTTTTTTTTTTTTTTGTTTTTTTTTTAGTTACACTGTTCAAATGCTGTTGAGTAGAGATTAGGGAGAAGATGGGTTATACGGAACTCCCCATATGTCAGCCGCGGGCAGGAAGGGGGGTTGGTCTGGAACTGGCCCTTATGTACTCCGTAGTACTGTCAAAATATAGACCAGAGAAAATATGACAAATTGCGAATTATTTGAAAACAGAGCAATGCTGTCACTCTTTGTTCTACAAAGTTACGCTTGCCTAAAGTACACGGAAAGATCATGGCTCTATGTTGATAAATTGATACGGCCCTTAGCATACTCCGAACACCAGCTGTGAATAGGGCTGACTGTCTCCTATCCTCTTCAATAAACCTTACATTATAAAACCCCAGAGACTTTATAGCATTAATATTCTTTTACAGAGATTCTCCGTGGAGAAATACAGGACACGCATGAGCAGTATTTATCAAAGTAGATAATATCAGACACACTTACCAATAGTAAATTTAAGAAGAAGTTGCGATATAAGTGCTATTCAAAAGCTTCTAGAGGACACGAGTCAGATCTTCCAGGGATCTCTCATCAAAAAGAGTCGGTAGGAAGAACTGTATAAAGCAGATATAATATAAATCTACCTCCACCTATCTCATATGCTGGATGATAGTTATACTTACTTTAATAAAACCATACAACGGCGGTCATCGGATCCAGCCACTGCAGATAGTTCAATCACACGATGTGTACCTTATGACAGTGATCCTCGGCCACTGGGGCATAGCCCAACTCCAGGGTGGAATCTTTACAGGATTTTATAGTCGAAGGAGAAAGATATGAAGACGAGAGATAGCATGTATCCCCTGAACGAAAAAGTAAAGTGAGGAAGGAAGAACAAAGACAAGATGGTGCATCTTCAAAAAGTCAAGAGCTTGAAAGGGGTTGAGGCCTGAGGAAAGAGTAGATAGATGGCAATGAAGGAGGGATTGAACTTTTGGGTTATATACAGTTTGCTCCAGATTGACTTCCTGCACTGTCTGTTATATCACCGTCATTTCATGTTTGCCCAAACACTCATCATAGACGTCCCCTCCATAAAAACATCTATTGAACTTCCAGGCTGGGAGGGCCAGCCAGCGTGGCAAGGTTAAAGAGTATTAGGATGCCTACCTAGCCTATATAGACTTAACGTACTCTTCATTAATTGTCCCTTCTACGTATACCGCGGTAAGATCAAATTCCAGAAAATAAATTGCTTTCGCTATGAATGTACAAACACCTATAAACATATCATTGCAAACAAAGCCATTCGGCTATAGACGACCACGAAGAGCGAAAGAGCAAAGGACTGCCACCTACCAGGGGTAGTGTCATCCAAGCCAAGCCAAGCGAAGCACCACGTCGGTGCGGTGCAGCTCAAACGGGGGCCATGATAGTAAACAAAGGGCAGGCAGTGTGTGGGCTCTACCAGCACGAAGGTCGCACCTAATAACAATTAGATGAATACCTACCATGGGAGAAAAATCTTGGTAGGCTGCGTTGCCATCTGGTCAGCACTAGATCGCCTTAGTCCGGGAGAACAGACTGCTGTAGACAGCGTCGACGACCGGCTGAGCGGTAATCTGTCTTCCACCGAAGAACCGTCCGTTCAGGCCCTTGATGGCGTTCTCACCACCCTGGACTCGGTCGAATTTCAAGTAGATATCGCCTTGGGAATTGGGATCTAGTGCAATGTGAACAACATGGCCATATTTATCTTCGCACTCAGCGCGGACGTCATCCTCCAACTCTTTACCCCAGGTGTCACCTTCTTCCCTGTGAACTGTTAGAATCATGTAATATAGAGAGAGGATATAAAGAGAAACATACTCAGAAGGATCAAACATATTGCGAAGCATAACACATCGACTCGCCATGTTGACATTGACGGGTAACGGCTTGGTTTCTGTCTTAGGGCGAAGCACTTTCTGCTTATTATCGGCGGTGGGCTCCGCAGGTTCATCTGTTCTTGCAAGCTTCCTCATCAATGCGTCCCTACTGTAGTTGTTGAAGTTCACACCGGCAACGTCCGTGTCATCCAACGCACTGGCGCCGGCTCCTTTTTCGGTTTCGCGACCTCCAGCACGGTCGAAGTTGTTGGTGCCGCCGGCCTGGACGCCACGTCCTCCCTGGCCAGAGAACGAAGAGCCCTGGAAATTCGGTTGGTTTGCACCATGGCTCTGCATGCGTTGTGCGTTCGAGTCAGGGGTGAACTTATCGTTGCCAAGGCCAACGCGGATCGCTCGACCAGCAAGATCGAAACCATTCATCTTTTCGAGCGCTTCTCGAGCCTGATTGGGATCGCGGAATCTGGACACCTCGTAAGTATAAAAGACATCCAAACAGCGGGTGGACACTTACTGTACAAAACCATAACCGCGGCTCCGGTTGGTTTCATCCTTTTGCAGTTGGACGAACTCAAGCTCGCCAAACGGCTCAAATACATTCTGGAGGTCACTCTCAGTGATGCTGAAATGGATGTTACCCACGTACAACCTATGAAAGGGGGCAGCGTGATTGCTCCCACTGCTGGCTTCGGGGTTGCGAGCCTGGCGGTTCTTTTCCGCTTCAGTCAACTGAGCGATAATTGGGATTCCTAGAAGCTTTTGTCCTGTAAGCTGGATAGCACTGGCGACGGATTCCTCGTTTTTGAATTCGACATAACCGACACTGTGTTTGTTAGTATGAATAACTATAAAAGTATAGAATAAAACAAGAGAGAGAGAGAGAGAAAGACATACCCCTTAGACCTTCCACTGACACGATCCTTGACGATCTGAGCCTCCTTAACAGGACCAACTTTCTCAAAGAAAGCAATCAACTCCTTCGTCCTCAACCGCGCAGCAAGCTGCTGTACGAAAATCGTGCGCCTGTCACGCTCGTCTTCATTCAAAGGCGGGGTCTTGTCACGGGGGCTCGGGGAGCGTCTGCGTTCACGTCGCGATCGTCTATCCTCGTCCCGCTCGTCACGACGAGACCGGCCACTCCCAGGGCGATAGTAGCGATCGTCAAAGGGGGACCGCGAGCGGGTGCGGGCCCGGCCACCTCCACGGTAGAAGTCGCCGCCGCCGGAGCGGTAATCGTCACGGTCGCGACGGGACCTCCGACTGTCACGGCTCTTGCTCCTCTTTCTGCTTCTATGGCTTCCGTTAGCACTGCCGTGTTCGCTCTTCGGGCTCTTCATGTCCTCGTCCCCGTCGGCGTCGCGTCGGCTGCGGTCGCGACGCCGGCGCTCTCGGTCGCGCGAGCGATCGCGGCGTTCGCTGCTGTCGGCCTTGGAACGGTCATCGGGTTCTTGAGAGCGTGGGGTGTCCTGGGCTGGGGCCGCGGTCGATTCGAGTAAAGCTTCTACGTCGAGGCCCGACATGGTGGTAGAATGGTTTGTTGGTTTCCCTTGTTCCCTGGATGAACCTGAATAGAAAAGGGGAGGTCGTGTATTGGAGGGGAGTTGGATCACTTGTGGCTAGGTTAGACTGCGCCGGCCAGTGAAGTTTTGACTTGAGCGAACCCTTCTGTATCAACGTCGAATCTTCAGACTGTCTCTATGGAGAGCAACGATCAGTTTCGTGATAAATGGGATGTCTCGAGTAGGTTGGGTTTGTGAGTTGAAAGTAAGGATCAGGATGGATTGGGTGGCACCGAACAAGTTGGTCCAGTTGGGCGAGGTGGGAAAATGGCCATGTCACGTGCATCTTGGCATTTGCCTCTGTAGCCAGTTAAGCCACACTTTTGAGACAGGAACCATGGGATCTGGGCCCAAAATCCTTGCGTCAGCTATTAATATCAATGTTACTCTCATGCAATATATTGGCAATGCCTCAAATGAACACGGTTGCACGGCTGATTTATTGTGATTCTGTGAAGTGATATAGATTGGAATGACATGTTACCATTTCTGATACAGTTCATGGAAGAAAACAATGAAAACAGAACTTAGTGAGAAATTGACTATTGTATTAGATATGTATGTATTAAGTATTATGATCATGCTGTCATGCAAACACTATGTATAAACAGATCCCTGCCATTGGCACCATTCCAGCTAGAATAATCGTCCAGAATATGCAGGGGGGAGGTTGAAAGGAAGGGTGGTCTTTACGACGGTCGAAAAGAAAACAAAGTCAAAGAAAGTCCAGTCCAAGCGATTCCAGATGCAATCCCAGCATTACTTCGTATAGATGGAGGATGAGCGTTAGACGGAGAAGCAACCTCCACCCTCCCCAAGTGGGCAAGGAGAAAAACCGACGATGACGGTCTTTATTGGGTCTTCACAGCCTTGGGCGGTGGTGTCACCAGTTCCGTGCCGAAGATGCGGTCCCAGAAACGGCTCGTGACTCCAAACCCATTCTCATAGTCGGCAAAATGGTGCTCCAGGTGATATTTCTTGAGGGACTGGTAATACGAGGGAAGCCTGAGAGCGATCGTGGTCAGCACATACGCGGCATACCAGGGGGGATCCATTGGTGACTTACTGGCGATGGTGGAGGAAATAATGGGTCAGGTCATAGCAGATATAGCCAAAGACACCGCCGCAGTAAACCAGCAGCGCCGCATGCCAGTTGTAAAAGAAAACAGTATGGGCCAACTTCCAGAACGGCGCTGCCAACACGACGAACAGAGTCGGGGGCATCACGAGCCGATACCTGTCCATCGGCAGATAATGGTGGATGCCGTGGAGAAGGAAGTGGAGGCAGAGTCCAACCCGATTGTCCGGGAGACAACTGGATCGTTGTTAGGGTCTGGCGGGTAGGTGGGAGAAGGCGGGGGGAACATACCCATCAATGTGGAACAAGAACCGGTGCATGAGATACTCGATGAGACTCCAGAGAAATAAACCACCCAACCAATAGGCGGCCGCTGCCGGTGCATTACCCAGCCCAGCGAAGCCCAAGTAGGTTCCGTAGGAGATCGGGGGCAGCCAGACGATCGGAACCACATACCATGCAGTCTTACTCAAGGGCTCCAGGAAGTTACCGAACAACGGGGCGGACTCCCCTCCTTTGTAGTGACGCGGGCGATGGATTTGCTCCAAATAAAACTCCTTGCTGAAACCGCTATTCCACAGCTGGAGCAGAAGCGGCTTGTTGAGATCCAGAAACTTGTGTGTCTTATAATCGTGGGTGTAATCGGTGTCGACGGAGAGGTCCTCTTCACGGGACATACCGGTGGTCGCGTAAACGGGGCCGGATGAAGAACCATTCTGCATCTTGGAGCATTTCGCATCCGAATCCGAGACGAGGAAGCCGACGAGATTATCTTGAAGGATTTCGTAGGCGGACTCGGAGTGTTCGTGGGATCCGACGTCGCGCAAAATCTCCTTCACATCCTTGCCCGCATATTCCAAAACCAAATCACCGCCTCCCGGATGGTCCTCGACGAACGAAGTGATGTCGTAGACTTGGGAGCCGATCGTCACATAGCACGAGTCGGCATTGTTATGCGACTCGACCTCGGCGACGGTGAACGTGGGTAGGACCCTTCCAGGCATGATTGCCAACGGTCGAGTGTCTGTTTTAAAATTTGCAGTGGTTGGAGAAGAGGAATGGCGATTGTGACCAAAGGGTGGAGGTGGAGAGATGAGTCGATTGAGTGAAGCCGTAGGGGGGGAGAAAGATAAGTGATAGATCTGGAGACAACAAGGGAGTGGCGTGAGGTCGCGGATTAGGTCCGGCGGCTCCGCACGAGGGCACTAATAAAAAAATTAAAAAAAAAAAAAGGTAAAAAAGCTGACCAAGCGGAAGACAGGAGAGTGGAAGCAATGATTAATCGACAACAAGTGCCAGTTGGAGGGTTTCCTGGAGCTATAGACAACGAAAGAGCTACACTACTCCTCTCAACCAAGACCTAAAATTCTTTGAAATGAGTATACACCTCAATAAATATTTTAAAATCAATTTGAATTATAAGTAGTGCTGTAAATGCTGGATGTGGCTGAAAGACGTAGGGAGATCGCCGACCGAGAGAATCGTCGCCCAGAGGCGCTAAACCTAATTGGGGTTCTTCCTCACCCCCTGAGCCAAAGAATTCAGGCGCCTGACTTTATGCACTGGAAATATGGAAGATGCGATTCAGGTTTTATCCCTGCGACGGTCATTTATTTGTTGATTATAGTCTCTCTGTACCAATCAATCTATGATCTAACGATGGGACGACACTGGACAAACCATGGCTTGAATTGATCTTACGGTGTTCTTAGGAAGAATGTCAGACCATCAACCATGTGATTGTCAAATCGGATCCTGTCATCGATCCGTACCCTGTTCAAGTCTTGCATCACCAAGTGACTATGAGATGGTTTGAACATCCCTGACGTTATTCGTGGGAAAGGATCCGAACAGAAAGACCTGCGGAAGACGGAGATACAGAGCCGGGACTCCCTACTCCATCAGCTCCATCTCCGTAGTACATCCATAGTACATCCTGCCTACCGCATTTGCCACCAGGTATTGGATGTATGTATGGTATGGTACGTCACCTGCGGTATATCTGAGCCATCCGAGTCCCGACCCATAATAACCTGTATATCAGATACAGACAGGACTCTTGATGAGAGGCTGAAGAAGCTTTCCTGTCCGGAGACGCTTGGTGCATCCAACGTGCATTTCCCCTGCATGGTCGTCAATGCGTCTACAGGGATCATTTTGATTTCCTGGTGGTTCTACTTTATTTTAAATTTTTTTTTTTTTTTTTTTGAGATTTTTTGGTTTGATCTATCTCCAGATCATTTGATTTACCTTGGAAAGAATTCGCAGATTTGGGAAGACTCTCTCTCTCTCTCTTTCCTATCCTTTGTTCTTCCAGTGGATATATCGTACAGACATTGCAACTGTCCCAGCGTACATATTATTATGTACGACCAACTGTTGGAGATGTATCCACGGAGGGTTTGAGCTACATCCGATCATGGATTCAACGGTACTAGTCTTTACCTCCTGGTAAATTACTGACTACTATCCAATCCTCTGGTGAGATTGAAGATCCTTTTCCTGGCCCGTTCTTTACGCTACCGAGGACTTGAGCATCCTTTGATCCCCTGACTCCTCTTTTTAGACCGTTTTCATATCAATCACCCACTATCAACAACAGGGACTGAAACATGGGCGGAAATCCGGTACCAAAGTGACGGCAAAGTCGCCCCAGTCAGGCGGATCCCTCTGTTTCCCCCCTGACCGTCCTTGGTGGATAGAGAGATAGGGCGGCCAAAGGTGGATAGTCCCTGATACAAGACGCCATTAATTACCGTCAGAGAAATGGAGGGAATGAAACAGAATGTCGGCCGATCTTCGTCAGACAATAATGTACAATCACAAAGTTGATTCATCTGAAATCAATAAACGAGTAGGTAAGTAAATAAGAGAGACCAAAGGGGACCATGTACTCTGTACCCCGTACAGAGGGTCCATTACCACGGAAATAAATAGTCACGGACAAAGTACCTTGTCGAATTGCCGGTTTATCTGGTTCGACTCGAGCTAACTGTCAGGAAAAATAAGTGGAGTCTTCCTCCCCCCGTCAATCATTTTGTCTCGACCCAGTCGACCCAGTTGACCCAATAATCCTTTTCCCCGACGCCAGTGATCGTTGTTGTTATTGTTGTTGTTGTTTTATTATTTGGGGCTATCATAGGGGCCAACCTTGTTGGGACAAGCTTCTCTCATCGCCCGTAAAGAGGGACAGCTCCTCGTCTTCTTTCTCTCTTTCTCCTCTCATCAATCTCCTCTCCCACCACAGAATCATTCCAAGATGGATTCGCCTACCCTTGAGTCGTCGGTTTTTCCCGAAAATCGTCTGATCGCCTACCTCAACCACTTGGCGGAGAATAAACCAGGGTTACCGTACGGCTTGCCCGTCTCCGTATCTCCCTCCCACACCATCACCACCACCGACGATCTAGTTCACCTCACCTCTCTGATCGGTCCGCACATCGCCGTTCTGCAACTCAATGCCGATATCATCGATGACTGGTCGGATGAGACCGTCCGCCAGTTGACCGCGCTCGCCAAGCGGCATTCGTTCTTGATCTGGGAAGCCGGTCGCGTGCTCAATTCCACCGTCGACGTCGTCGGCCGGCAGAAATCCGACACGCGCGAGGTCCGGAATGAACTGATCGATATGATTCGGAAAAGATACACCAAGGGTGTCGTCAAAGCAGCGTCCTGGGCCAGTCTCGCAACGGCGTGGGCATCGGGCGTCGCGGTGGATAATCAAGAAGCGGACATCCTAATTCCCACCCTGAAGGCCGCCGCCCGAGAGGCCGTCGCAGACTCGGTGCGGACCATCCGAACGGAGATCACAGCCAATGGCACGAACGAGCGTCCGTCAAGTGTGCACGAATCGATACCCAAGAGAGACGACGGCGGCTCGCCCCAACCTTATCTCACCTCCGACTATGCCGCGGGTGACAGCGGATTGGGGCTCCCTCCCCGGAAGGCCTCGACGATCTCGCTGACCCAGACGATCTCACAACACACGGAAGACTCGACAGAATCGCTCCTGGACATCGACACAACCGAACAGATCGAGGTCTCCGAAAACGAGCAAGCGACCTCTTCCACCCCCCACGGTAACCTTCCACCCCCGCCTATCCTCGCCCGTGGTCTTGTCCTTCTCCTACCCGCCGCGTCCGACACCTCCTTCACAAGCGAATACCGAGAGAGCTGCCTAGCCGCCGCTCGCGCCAACCCCGATTTCGTGATCGGCTTCCTCTGCAGCCTACCGTGGCATCTCGTCTCGAAGACGGATGACCTATTCGACCCCGTGACACCCGAGGCCGAACAACCATTGAGCCCGTACTCAACAGACGGCGACGCCGAAGAGACACTACCCTCCTTCGCCCTGTTTTCTTTCGTTTCCCACCGGATGAACTCCCTAAACGGCAAGCAAATCGACGACTACTACGCGGACGACGACGACGACAACAAGAACCAGGTCACTAGCGTAACAGTGGATTCTCCATCCGACCCTGCAAGCCCCCTAGCCGTCAAGCTCCACTCGATTCTCGCGCAAGCCCTCAAATTCCGCGACGCGCCCCAACGGGACTCCAACACCGCCCAGACGAGGCGAGCATCGGGAAGTCGGCCCAGGATTATGCATATCCCTGTGGTTTCTCTACCGTGAAGTGGAATCCCTTTTTCTTTTCTTTTCTCTTTTCTTTTGATTGGTGTCATCTCATTCAAAGTCTCGGGGTTCCTTTTATGGAGAAATCAAAATCAGCTGTCGTCGGCCGTGCCGAGAGTCTGGAGTTTTAGTGGTTGTCTGGGAATATTGATGTTTGAATTACCTACCTACCTACCTACCTAACTACCTACATACCTATGTCTAAGAATATAATCTACTAGGCGACTACTCGATCCTACGAACTAGGTAACCTTGGTCTGCTTGGGCGACCGGGACATATGTCACTACGCAGGCACTAGAGAACTACCCTGTACGGTAAACTAGTACATTAATACTTAAAACTACCTACTACCTACCTACTACCTATAGTTACCCCCTCCCTTTTACGTATACAATCCAAAAAGCACCACCATAAATCCCATAGATAGACCATCCCACAATATGACTCATCAAACCAGCATCCGAAACAACGGAAAGTCCTTCCTCGGACAGGGGAGAGGGGATGAACAAAAAGAGACACCCGCATACCGGCACGCCGGAATTCAAGGGTTTAGCTTAATGCATCGCCCCGTGTTTCACCTGGAAATATGAATGCACGGACTGCTTGACTGGTTATTAGGGCTGGGCTTTGTAAAAGTACGTATGGGCTTTTTTCAACTTGCGTGTATGTGAGGGGATGGGATTGCAGTGGTTCAAAATTTGATTATCATATCTGGGCTGATCGATGGATCGATGGGTATTATTATCCTGGAGGGTATCATGCCTACCATCTGTAGTACGCCGTACATAGAGGATAATCATAGAGTATAGAGTATAGTAATATGACAATACAACCCACCCAACAAAATATATACCACAGAAAAAAAAAAAAAAAAGAAAAAATAGATACATCCAAACCAGTCCGCCTCCCCGCCTCCCATACATTATGATATATACTCAATATAAAAAAAACCTACCACTCCTCAACCTCATCCAACCTCAACGGCAAATGCAACAACCGAAACCCCGCCTTCGTAGGCGCCGGCAATCTCCCCGCCCTAATATTAAACTGCAGCGACTGATGCAGCAGCTTCGGTGCCGGCAGCTGCGCATCGCGCTCCTCCCTCAGCGCAATATACTCGTCCTCGCCGGTCCCGTCGCGCAGGTGTCTGTTGAGGCGTCTGTGCTCCTCGACCGTCATCCAGGGACAGGGCCGCGGGCGGTCGTCGGGCGGGTAATCGTGGCCGGTCCAGATCTTGACGTCGTCGGGGAGGCTGAGGAGTTTGCGGCAGGATTGGAAGAGCGCGTGTGCGCTGCCGCCGGGGAAGTCGCAGCGGGCGGTGCCGATGTCGGCGTGGAAGATGGAGTCGCCGCAGAAGATGTTTTCTGGTTCGTTTATTAGTTGGTTGTTTGGAAGAATGGAAGGGCTAGGGCTGTGGCATACCTCCAATCCGATACCCCAGATGATCAGGCGTATGCCCCGGCAAATGCACAGTGCTCGCCCTCAACCCCCCAATGTGGAAAACCTCATCATCCTCAAACAGCTTCCCAAACACCCCCTTATACTCCTCGACGGGAACCCCATACCGGGCCCCAAAAAGATTCTGCACCTGCACAATGCGCTTCCCAATCCCAATCGGCGGCTTCAGACCATGCTGCAGATGCGCGAGCCGATTCTGCAAATACGACGCGGCAGTAAGATGGTCCGCGTGGACGTGCGTTTCAAGAATCATCTCGATCTTGTAGCCGCAGTCGCGCACTTTCTGCAGCAGGGCGTCTGCGCTGTCTGTGGTGATGGTTTGCGTAGCGCGATCGTAGTCGAGGACTGGGTCGATTATGACTGCAGAGGACGACGAAGGGTCCGACACGATGTATTGCCACGTGCTGGTGTTTTCTTCGAAGACCGCGTGGATCGTGGGTTCGCCGGTTGTGGTGGATTCCACGCCGCAGCGGTCGCCTAGGTTGTTGGGGGTTGTTCCTCCTGCTGGGGTGGTATACATGCGCTGTGAGGAGGGGATTTGGGACTTTCGCCCTCCGAGCTGCGATGAACCATAGTGACTGGCGATTCTCGCAGAGCGTGTGAATGCCCGTGTGGCTTGTGGTGAAAGCGCCTTAGTTTGGGAGGTAGCTCGTAGCAGATGATGATGATGTTGATGATGACATGATGCGGAGGCCGAGGCCGAGATCTCAGCCATACAAGGTAAGCCAGCACGAGCAAGCCGTGTACTTCCCCGTGCCACGAACATTTTCAAGAATTATACTCTTTCAAATATCGTCTACAATAACCTGAAATAATCGGGACAATAAAAATAAAAGAATAAAAATTCAACTCCGGTCGTTGACATCAAATACCTCTGATGCTGGTTTTGTATGGTTGCCAATCGGCGAATGACAGGCGAACTACCTTATGTGTAATCGGCGATCGAGTCAATTACACCCCCCGTCTCCACTATGGGTCCACGTTTCTATACGAAAACCCTTTGGCGGCTTTGGCGGACTAGACGGCATTGAATGGAATCGTCTGTCGGATCAGTACTTGCGATTATTTTTTAGATGGTTTATAAAGTGAGTTCGGTCGATTTTAGAGAGTAGGCGAGCTGGAATAAGCTACCTCGACATGTTTAGCGTGTCGGCGTGAATCACCCTTGTTCGGCCGGATTACGGAGCCGGGGAACTCAAAGCTCCTCGAGAGCATGAAATCATGACGTTTGATTCCGATTGAGTAGCACTAAGTCGGGGTCTTCTCAATGCCTTGTATGCTCAATTCCATGTCAATCTGCAGATGCTCCGTGTCTTTACTCCGACAGTACTCCGCCTTGATATAGAAGACCAAGTATAAGTCTTCTCCATATCAGACCAGGGCTCTTGATATCTCCAAATGACCGCGATCTTCTAGAAATTCGGGCATTCCAAAGCAGCCGTCTAATCTCGCCAGCTCGAGATCCTCGGGGTCCAACTTCGCCGAGCCGGAACTCCCTGGGCCCGCATGCGATCAACCTATAGCTTGCGAGTTACCGGGATTAGTACTGCCAGTTTAGCATCGGCTTGTTCTGTATATAGTTCTGATTAGTCTAACTGTGACTGGGCACGTTATACTCCATGCATGGCCCTAAGTTTAATAGACCTGTTCCAATACTTTGTGGACCAAAGACTCGGTTACTCAAATGGCAACAGAAAGTCTCAGCCACTGCACCAAATACCGGATCGTCACTTTATCGGGCTGCACATGGCTGATATCCGACAGAATATGCGAACCTACTACCGGGTTTGGTGCTGTACGGAAATATCATGTATATCCTATACCTTCTTTGACTTAGATGCAAAGCGCGGCGAGGCAGGGTCCTTTCTTTTGTGCGGGGCCTTGATACGCTGTTGCCCCTGGTTCCATAACATGTTCTCGGGGCGTAGTTCTAGGTGTTGCATGCCCGCATCGTCAATCTCGCAGCTTGTCCGATCAATGTCTTGATCAAACCGAACTTAGTCGTGGAAGCTCAGACGAAATCCACTCCACCCCATCAAGGGCCTCTGCATATCATGGATGATGGGAGGAAGGAAGACGCAGTCTGCCCGCATCGGATTCACTCAACAGCGACGGGTCTTTAACAGCCATGGAATCCACCTTGTCCCCTGTTCGAGGTCGTCAAAGGTGAGGTGATTGAAAGTCGATAAGATATGAAGGTCCTCGCCAATCCGAGCGATACGACAATGACACAGCCATTGGTCAGGCATCTCAAATCCAGCCTGCTGTTGATCATATACTCGAATGTTTGTGTCGCGCCTGCGCAGGACAAAAACGTTGCTGGGCTGACCGATGATCCCAGGGGCGTAAGAAGACGGTCAGATGCGGACTACTGGGCTTGTAGCGGACCCTTTGGTTGCGAGGGACTGATCCACTTGGATTGCAACAGGCCTTGATATGAGACGATGGAAAGCTTCAAGAAATTCAAAAAACATTGTTCCTAATAGAACCCAACATTTACAATCGCTCCTTGCCTCTGCAATAATATATTATGCCTGTTGGCAATCCTCGTAGAGAGATAGGTGAGCAGTGGTATGCTGTATGGGGACTAGGATATTTTAGTAAACACTACCCAGCTTATAGGACAGATGCTTCTTAAAGCAACTGAATGGAAAAACCAAAAAGTTTGGAAATGATGGGAAAACAGTAGTCGATGACAATCGATAAGGACATACATAAACTGAGAAGGAAAAAAATAAAAAAGATATTAAGGTCCTACCGCGATTCGAACGCGGGTATCCAGAATCAAAATCTGGCATGATAACCTCTACATCATAGGACCGTCTGTTCCATTCGACCATTATAAGAGCGAATTGTTTTTCGAAGACTCAGTTTAGCTAGATAAGCCCAATCACTGATATGTTAACAGACCTATATAGAGGTAGCATCGAAATTAACAATGTTGCACATATGATTGTTTTTCATCTGATAGTAGGTCTTTCTAATTATTTGACTGCCCACTTTATTGCAAATGAAGTTTCCATCACATTATGACATCGCACACAGGACGAACTTCGACCACCGTTGACTTATGTTGACGTTTTGGACTTGCCCAAAACTATGTACATATATACTTCCGACTTTTTATGCAGAGGTGGAATCAACATATCAAACCCCTTCTTGATCCGTAAACCGCGGGGAATGGTACACCAGCGAAACCCGATCTTATTTAACTCTATTTTCCTATAATACCATGATTTACCCAATGTCTAGCGATGTCTCTACTGGACGAGCTGTGTCGACCCGACAGATTCTACAATGGTCGACAGCTCAGACAAAACCCCTAGGGGATACGTACAAAGTCCGCCGCAGAATCCTCTCCCAACACGCCAGATCGACCAAATGTACAGACGGGGGAAATATAAGATTTTGAATTGTTCCCGAGGATCTTATGCAATCCACTCATTGCCGTCAAACAGTGCAATGTCAAGTTCGATGTGGAAATAAAGTAAAATCAAATTTGATAGCCAAGCTTCTTAGTATACAACCTGTCTTTAGCAACAGCAATAGCACGTGTAGTAATGATATCCCTGTTGAAATAGTGCGCCAACAGCGTCAAGCCACTTCCCATTTCGCTGCTGATCCAATTATGCGCAGATGGCCTAGAATGTAATTGTTTAATAGATCAATCGACGAACAGCACCTCCTCTTTATCCAACGCCTTCTTCCAGAATCCAATAAACCCATCATTAGCAGCATAATTAGACGAACGACGCTTCAGGTGCCAGTTCGCCCTCATCCAATAGTCGAAATCATACTTCACCTGTGTCTGCCTGGTTAGTCAACTCATCAAGAGACGTATCAAGGTGCTGACATATGATTCCAACTACACGTTCGTATGTTTCCAACTTGCTCACCGTCTCTGCTGATTCCCTCACAAGAAACCAACACATAGAATGAAAGACTGCTTGGAGGATCATCCTCCCCTCCTCGACCTTCCCCGTTTCGCTTCGCTATACCAACAATGGGCCTTGTGTTCCGTACAGCTATCGCAGCCAGTTTCCTGTCCCGTACACTTACGCTTCTTTATCCTGCATCTTTCACAAGCCTGTTCGACGTAATGACGACGAGACCTCTCTGGCGAGGATCTGGTGCTCTTATCCAAACGAGGAATGGGCATTTTATCGCCGCTGAGCTGAGGGGGTTGACCCGACCCGTAGTATTCCGGCACGCTCTGCCTGGCACCAGGTACGGGCACCAGACTATGCTGTACGCTTTCAAGAGAAGACGCTGAGTACCTTCGGTCAAAGCCAGTGACTGGCTCTGGGTTATAGTTCACGTTCCCGCCGCCAGACACTGTGCTATTTTGCCACACAATGGGCTCAGCGCCTTGATTGTCCCATGCCAGGACAGGAGACATGCCCGGGGCATCATAGACGGAACTGCGAAAAGAAAAGGGGTATACGTGTGCGAAATGAGGGACAGCGTGTAGATCGTACGTCTGATTAAAATTGCCGGGTCCTAATTCTAACCCCGGACCGGACCATCCAGAAGAAGCCGGAACGCTGGCCTGTGGGCAACTAGCAACAATCTCAGGGTTTCCTGGCAGAACTCCTGGAACAGCGTCTTGATGCTCATCAATCAAAGGAGAGGGAATTTCGCTACCGTCATCCGGCAAATCTTGGAATCCCCTAGGATAAATAGCAGGTGAGGTGTAAGAGCTGTCTGGAATATCGAAAAACTCGGACATCAAGCCCTCCTCAGCTGTGCCAGCCATTGCGCTTAGTACTCTGACCTGGAATCCAGAGTATTTGGCTGAAATGAAAGGGACGCAAAAACGTTGAATGGAGAGAAAGATGGAAGTATGATGGAGATCAGTGCAAGCGAGAAGGTTGAAAACAATGACCTCCCGGTAGCTCTTTCCACACGAATTGTGACGTAAAATCTGATACGGCACAGAGAGCTCAGCTAAGGTTCCCGGTGCCCAAAACAATCCAAAGTTTTCTGGAATCATGGGCACACGAAGGGGAAGGGCCAACGTTGTTCCAACCGCTCTTACATGTAGCGCGAGCCATTCAGATTGGAAGGCACGCATCTCAACCATTGAGTCAGGGATTACAGGAGTCTATGTTGCAATCTGATATGGCGATAATACTGGGTCGACCATTATGGGTTCATTGTGCATTGGTATGTGGATAGAAACACCAAATTTAGAATACAGACCTTGCTAACGTGACCCGCTGGTATAGTTGGCAGCCACCTCTAGTCCGTCTGGACGGGGGGATGACTCCATCATGTCATCACCGTGTGAAGCGTCTTATCTCTTCGCTATGGTTCTGTAGTCACAGCGTGGCCGACTTAAAGAGTTAGCATCGATAGTGCTTTCCGTCTATCTATATCGACCACCTACCGCTAACATTCTTCCGCAAAGTTGATGTCATCCAACTCATGGAACCCTGACGTGATGATAAGCAAACTTCGAGTACTATGACGCCGGGTTTGGGTCTTGATGACAAGATCAAGATTTCACCTTCGCACCTGACCCGGGCAAGGGAAGCCGCCAACCCGATTTGTTCTGCCATTAGATAAATACCCATACCTCGCACTATTACCTAGTTGACTTAGCTCTGGGGGTGGCAGGGCTCTCCTGGTGGTCTGTTTATCACCTGACATCTTGTGTTTGCAATCTGTCTAGCCCTAATCGAACCATCTCTGCGGAGGCTATACTGCGGAGTAGTGTTGAGGAATCGTCGTAGAACGTTGACGACTTCTTTGAACTCTGGACGATATTAGTTCCTGAATAAAGCGCAACATGGCGTTCGTATGGAGTAAGCTCGCAGCAATTTCAAAATTACAGGAAGAAAGCAATGTAAGGACCATTAAAACGGATAAAGATTTGCATTGGCGCAGTAAGAACAGGAGAATAAGCCCCTTTCGCAAAGGGAAGCCAAAAAGAAAACAAGAGAAAGAAAAGGAAACTCGCCGCGAGCCTCAGAGCCGGTCCGAACATCATTATTACTCTATACAAACTGAACAGGAATTACTCAATGACAAAGTTCTCCGCGACTGTTCTCACTTCTTTAGCAAATTCGGCGCTCTCGCCCTCCTGCTCCAGCAGAGAAACGTTGCTGACATCCACCTCGACGAAGGGGGTGGCCTTAGAGAAGCGGACGTTCATGGGGAAGAACTCGTTCTCGTCGCCGTCGCCAGCAGATTCAAACTCGAAGCTGCCCGAGGCATTGCTCTCATCCACGGTTCCGACGTTCCAGTCTAGGCTATCGCCCGACACCTCGTAGACCGCGTCAAAGCTAGACACGGCTGGCTCCGCCGCACCGTACGGGATGGTAACGACAACATCGCGCAAGGTGTCTGAGCCGGTGAGTTCGTACTCGATCGTCACCGTGGTCGAGTCCGAGCCCTTGTTCACCCAGACAGTGAAAGTGATAGGGAGAATGTCGGCATTCTCCCCGCTGCCGGCTACCCGCCAGCGCAGAACACCAATTGCGTTATTTGCCGGGAAGCGCTTCGACATGTCCTTCAATTGGATCGCGGACGAGTTGGTAAAGACGGCCTTGTCAACATTCGGGTGGGTGCGGAATTGAGCTCCGTGGGTCGGATTGGCCAGCAGGTCAAGTTTGAGCTTGGTGAGCGACGGATCGGAAATGCGGAGTTGGAGATCACCCTTGACTTCAAAGGATTTGAGCGCACCCTCACGGGTTAGTGTGGCGGACAGCGTTTCGGCGATAGTAATGTGGATGGGGTCCCTGTCGGCCGACAGGGATGCGCGAGCGGACGAGGCATTGTCCCCAACGGGAGTGGACACCTGCGGAGTGACCAAGGGGCTCGACTCCTCGACCTCGGGCCCGAAATCACCCCGGACCTTCTCGTATATATCCGTAGCCTTGGATTTCTTGCCCAGCTGCATGCCCTTGCCCCGTGTAACCAACGGCCTATGGTAGGAATTGCATTAGTGAATGGCATAGGCGCTAGCGGAAAGGAGGATGACGTACTTGGCAAATGACTTCTTCTTCTCCGCCTCATAGGTATCGTATGTATCTGGCACCGTAGGACGGGCGGGGGGCGTGTAGACGGGGTATGAGGGGGTTCGGGGGGCCATGTTACGGCCAGTGCGGGCGGCCTCCTTTCTTTGCATCTCCAGTTGCTTTGCCTTGCGCTTGCGCTCCTCGCTGGCTTCGAGTTCCTTGTTCTGTTTGACAAATCAGCCGGCCGTAACGGTGTGAAGTCCAATAGATATATTACCCTCTCGATAATCTCCTGGATCCTCTCCTCATGACTCTCCATCTCCAAGAACGTCTTGATTTGGGAAAGAGACAGGTTCTCCCGGTAGCCAAGCGTCACCAGTTCGTCAAAGGCACTGAGCAGCTCGAACGCATTGCGCAAGATCTCCCGCTCATCCAGACTCTTACAGATGCTGGTGGTCACTTGGGCGAAAAGGTGTAAGCTGTCGATGTCTTGGAGGATGTTCGATTGGCGGTTGGTGATCAAGACGATGTAGAGCTCATCGAGGGGTTGGTAAACGAAACGGACATTGTCTTGCTCCACGGTCGTGTGCTGAGTACCGGCATCGGCGAGTTTAGGGAAGGACGCGAGGAGGGCTTCGATTCTCGAGCGGGCGATTTCGCGGAATTGACGCGAAAGCACAGCTTTGCCCCCGCGGGTGCATATCGACGCTGCGAGGACAACCTGTGTTGAAGGGTGAACGGTGATTAGCGCGTGGGGGGGGGGAGGAATTGGGACGCCCTTCTCAAAGGGAAACCGAGGCATTTGGACATACCATGACTGTTTAAGAGGTAGGCAACGTTGGGACCAAAGGAATCTAGCACGACGGCGACAACTTTACAGAATGAGGCAAAGGGGGTTGAAAGCGGACAACAATCGGGATAGATCGAACAAGTAAGTAAGTTGACTAAACTGCTTGCTGTTCTCTTCGGCCGCCCTTGGCCCGTGCACAACACTACCGCCTCGCTTACTTTCTCCTTCTGACCACAAGAAGCATCGCCGCTTGCGACTTCATTCTTTCATATCACATCTCTTGGATCTTTCTACCCATCCCTCAGTAACTACAACTTACTCAGGAACACTTGAGTGATATTCCTGTTTCTCTATTTCCCTTCTTTTTCCCCCCCCTTACTGTTCTCTCGCTTGTACCACGCCCGTAGTTACCTCCCCGACACTCGAAACGCCACGCTTGAATTTGGGCGCGTTTCCTCCCCCCTGAGTTCTTTGTTCCCTACATCACTCATGTCATGATATCTACTCCATCAGTAGCATTTCCTGCCATGGAGGTTCCCACGCTTGATGACTCGATGGAGATGGCCTCTCCGTATCAAGGCCATGCCGATGACTTTGACATCGACATCGATATCATGGAGGATCAGGCCTCGAACGCAGATAGAGACATGACTGCAGTTGATGAATACATAGAATCGATCGACGGTACAGAATACAACCAAGAAGGAACAAAGGACGCGGACATGATCGATGACGCAGAGTCGGTCATGATCGATGCCGAAGACCACTACCAGGAGAACGACTATAATATGGAGATGAAGGACGAAGAGAAACCTTACGAAGCCGACATGCTGGAAGACGACTACGATGAGGATATCGATGCTCCTGTCTCGGAACAACGAGAAGAACAACGAGAAGAACCCGCCCCGCCTGTTGAACGTGAACACCACCAGCCCCCGGCACCTCCGCCCGAGACCGACGTCGATATCGAAGAGATTGAAAAACCCGCCGAGACAACAAAACCGGAAATCACAGTGGAACACGTGGACGAGCCCAGCGCGGAGGTAAATCAAGGACAGGAACAAACTGGTGATGAAAAGGAGTTTGTTTCCGCGGCACAGGGAGTAGATGCACCTGCATCCTGGCACGCGGAGGAAAATCGTGACGGAACTAACGCAGATAGTCAAGGAGGCTCACAGGAAGCATGGAGTAATGGCCCTATTGACCACGCTGCGAGTCCTAAAGTCTCACAAAGTGCAGACAGTGCTGAGGTGGAAGGATCGAATCTAGCTGAAAAGAACGAAGAGCGGGGATTATCACAGGATGATGAGGAAGAGAAGAAGGCACTTGCGTCAGGGAAGGACGAAGCTCAAAATGAGCAAGATGCAGCACCGCAGCCCAACACGACAGGGGACTCTTCATTATATCCGATCAAAGTCTATTATCAGGAGAATGAAATTTCCTTGTTTCCACCCCGGGAAGGTGACGCTTCGGAGACATTCTTTCTCGAAGATGAGTCACTTGCGCATGGACCATTCACAAAGCTCTTTGAATCCTGCCGTGCAGTGCTTCGGGACCACATTGGAGATAATGAAGTCTTAGTGATGGACGTGGATGCCTTGAATCTCCAACTCAACGAGGTTTGTCTTCACTTTTGAATAGTTTGTTGGACTCTCAAACTGATCTTTACTGTTATAGGATACCTACGACACATCGAAGGTGACATTGAATCAGATCGTTCATTTGTATCTGCAACTGTGCCACAACGATGGGGTTGATGAGCCTGAGGCGCTTTACCTTACGCTGAGCACGAGATTGACCCTTGCCGGTGCAATGTCTGATCTTCTATTAGCTGCAAGCGAAGGGAAAGGTCTCTCTGAAATCAACTCTTGGGATGAATATAACGAAACAGATGCAGCTGAAGCAGATATTCTCGAACAGGCGCCGGAGCCTACATCCGAGCAACACGTCCAGCACACCACTGAGCAGCAAGAGCTCCCCTTTGAAGCCCACGACGCTTCCGACGCTGAATCTCATGCTCCAACGCAGAAACCTACGGACAATCAGGATGAGATCCAGGAAGAGGATGGGGAAGAGCGCCAAGAAGAGTATGAAGAAGAGCATGAAGAAGCGCATGAAGAAGAGCATGAGGAAGAGCATGAGGAAGAGCATGAGGAAAAGCATGAGGAAGAGCACGAGGAAGAGCATCAAGTAGAGCATCAGGAAGAGCATCGCGAAGATCCTCGAGAAGAGGACCAGGAAGCTGGTGGTATTGATAAGTCTGCTTCTTTAGATCAAGAAGCTTCTTCCATGCCTACTGAAGATGCTGCAGAGGGCGACACAGGCGACAGAGAAGATGGAGAATTGAGTCACCCAGGGACAGAGAATGACGAACAGCGTCACCGACCCCAGGAAGAGTCCCACGCACCGGAGGGGGAAGAAGTCGCTTCCGTGGCTGCCGTTGATCAGCAACCTCTTTCTGAGTCGAAAGATGAGCAACAGCTTCCTGATGAATCTGCGCATATTGCTGGTGACGCTCAGCATAGCTCTGAGGCTCAATACGATCATTTCAAAGAGGGCGCCGACACTGAATGGTACCCTGAAGAAGGTGAACTGGATGCTACAGAGCCTTTGGATAATGTAGCAGAAAATGGGCGCGATGACCTCGATGAGACTCACGAGTCCGATGTACCTGAAAACGTGGAAGCGTCTCCCGAAGACGCCCAGCATGATTCTGCTCAGCATGATGAGTATGAAGAAGAGCATGCTTCTCAAGATAACGAAGATGTTAGCGAACAAACGTTGCAAGGGGACGATGAGGATGAGTTTCATCGAGATCTCCAGTCCATTGTCGACGAGGCTCAGTCAGAATTACCACAAAACAGCGCCCTCCCTACTCCGGATGTCGGCGGCGAATCAGTTGGTCGCACTGAAGGCACACTAGAAGACCCCGCTCAAAGTCCTGCGAAGGACGAGGAGAGTGATGAGTCCGGTGAGGTTCATGAGGAATATGAACGCCAATCTTCGGATGCTGGTCTAGAGCATGCTGAGGACCTGGCATTTGGCGCTGGAGACGAATACCTAGACCTGGGCATTCCGGAAGATTTCGTGTTCGGTGACGAAGAAACTGGCACCTCCCAGGGCCAGGGGACCACCAAACGAGACCGCGAGCCAGACGAGTTTGGTTTGGACGAAGGTCCTTCGCCCGATGCCAAACGGCGACGCTCATGATTGCGCCTTGCACTGTTTATATTCCGCCCACATTTTCATCATTTTCACCCTTGCCTCTCTTCCCCACGTCTAACCAATCTAGCTTTCAACCTACACTAGCCAAAGGTTTCCCACCGGCAGGACCCGCGCTATTTGATAGGAGATTATTATCCGCAAGGCTAACGAGGGGTTCTCTTGCGCCACCCGATCAACCAGAGAGACTGCCTCCTTCGGTTCCGATGAATAAGGTAAGTGTTTCTACGCGAAATACTAATACCCACCCTCGTGCAGGAGGTATTGCTTCGTGGCCTACCTCGTGTGTCGATTCGGTTGATCCATGCACGATCGACCTTTTAGGTTTGTACAAGATGTTTTTTAATCCTCCTCTGAGGGCTGTTTTTTGATTGTTTTTACCCCTTCGTGATTTCTGGATTAGCGATACCCCGATACTTCCCTGTGAATTAGTGGCGTTGCGAAAGGGCATGTGTTTTTAGTGCGTATGCTTGATACCAAAAAGCGTTCTACGGCAGCCAGCCTCAGCGAGGGCCGGATATGGGTGTATACACCTTTTGACGCCTTGGCTTACTGGTCTGTACAATGAGATTAAGTTTTTTGTCACTTCCGATCCTGTCCAATTCCTGCGTTGTTCAATTATTTAACACGGGTGCTACGGAGTACCGAATGGGGGAATACGTTTCCAACTGAACTGTTTGGGTTGATTCTGGATGGGCCGTGGGTATCGTGGATATCTACCGAGTATCATGGGGCGGCGTCCGGGAGTTTCGGGGACGCAATTGCCATTGGCCGTGTACATTCCATGACTGTTCCTGATAGTAATGGTGTTTTTTTCTCTCTTTCTGTTGGTACATATCCCATATAAACCGCCCACCTGGTAGTAAGCGTGACACACAAGGACTATCTATGCGAGTACCTCCAAAACTCCCAGTCAAGTCGAGGAGGGTTTTGCGCCCCCAACCAGAATGAAAGACGGGAGCTTGCTGCCCTGAGATTAGTTAGTTAGGTGGGGAGGGTAGTGCGCAAGTTTCCGTATGATCCGAACAACCCGACGTACAAAACAAACGAGGTCGAGCAGCCCAGATGTGGGCTGATCTGGAGGTTAAATAGATCCCATAACGCAAAAAAACTGGGGAAGACAAGATGCTATCGAGCACTCCAGAGCATGCGCCAAGCTAGTATGTATATAGTAAGGTAGTAAGTAAGTAGGACTAAGTAGGTAATAGACAGGGGGAAGCCGTTTTTAGACGCTAGGGCCGGCAAGGGCCAATTCCCCACCCCTTGATTTTGGTTGATTTCGGGCGCTGCTTGCCTGCCTGCCATGCCCTATCGGCCGGCCTATCTGTCTCCTCACAGGGTAGGACTCAGGTATTTTATATTTTATGTATATTGAGTAACCGATCGGGGAAGACTTAGTCGAGACCATGAGGGAATAGATCGACGCAGCTGCAGGGGTTCCCTGCCATTTTCAATATTTTTTTTTCCTTCCCACCAGATGAACGAATGGGAAGATGGACGGTTCCATGTGAAGGGGGAGCAAGGGATGTCTTGGTGGTCTTGGCTGGTTGCTTTTATTTTATTTTTACAGCGTCAGGGTCCATCTGTTAGGTAAGGGCCAAGACGGGTTCGCTCGCAGGTCGGAGATATATTGAGGATTGATTCGGGATGGGCTGAGGATGCGGATTGTAGGAGTTGGGATGGTTCAATGATCCCTACCTATGGCGATGCTTCGTTGGGATTGGAATTGATGGATTGATACGGAGTAGAAAGTGTATAATCTATTGAATTGATTGAGAGATCACATGGATTATCCACTGTTTTATTCTCCTGGGCTCGTGGTGGATCGTCGTATCCTTATAGATATTAGATGGAGAATTATATTAGAGACTGGGGATAATGCTCTTATAGGATAATTCTCAAGAATCATAGGAATCAATAAATGATGATAATAAATAAATAAGAATAATCATAATACTCGACGGAAGCAGGAGCCAACTGGATATTCTTAGATACGCCGTACGCAGACGGTACTACTCTTAGGTACGACGTACTAAATAGGTACTAGGTATCAGTCCAAAGTACAAACAGAGCTGAAACGCCGATCGTCCCTCGGGTTACCCGATGATTGGGGGTGGCTGGTCTGGATTGTTCAGGTTGATTTGGTTGTGGCCACCTATCCTTAGTCCTTCCTATTCATCGTGGACAGGGTCTCTTTGTTCTTATTGATTCCTCATTCTGGTCCGCTGAGGTACTTCCGTCGTGGATGGTGATGTTCTTTGTATTGTGTGATGGAGTGATGGATCCTCAGGCACCTCGGGGTATTGACACAATCATACATGTCTTCTCATCTCCGTCTGTCTTCCTCGGTATACTCAAACCCTCGAAGAAAGAGGATTAAAATATAAAGATAAATATAAATAAATACGGATGGTATCGACCAGCTAGGATATGTAGAAAGGAGGATAGCAATCAGAAACGTAATACCTAATCAAAACCAGAAGGTCCCAACCGTAGTTAGACGTGCCAATGTTCAATTCCTGTGGGACTTACGCGTCCAGAATCGACCTGGTTCCGTCTAAGAGAAAACCCCACCGCACGAGCGCAGCTCTGCTAATAGACAGATGGTGGTCTCTCTTGTTCTGCCACCGGTTCTCTTACTGATCACCTCACCAAACTAACCCGACCCAGACCCGACCAGACTCTCAACCCACTGACCACCACTACGACCACCACTACTACGACCACCACTACAGCATACCTCATCCCTCCAACAAAACCCTCTTCTCTCCCCCATTCATTCCACGCCACAGCCTCCCTTGGCCAATACAACCCCCCCGTTTCTTCCTTTCTGCAGAGTCATCCCTCCTTAGATCCCTTTCCATCCTCAATCCACTTTCTCCCTCCCTCTCTCTCTTTTCTCTCTCCCCCAATTTACTCGTCTCTCTTTCATTCTACCTTTCCCTTGACATTCGTTTATTCATTGTTGTTGGCTCGCGCTCCTCCCGATGTTTGGCTAGCCACCCACTCAAAAAGCCCACCTCTGACCAACCAGCCCTGCCCGACCCTACCAGCCAACCACCTACCACCTAACACCCCCCAAAAACCCGCCGTCGTTCCACTGTCCGGTTCAACTCTCAGCTTTCCAACTACCACCATTCTCCGTCCCCTCGCGCTTTCGTTTCCGCCGTCTTCTGCGACTCGCGATCGGATTTGATCACTCCCCTCCCGTCCGTCTCGAGTATTGGAGTTTCTACGTCAGAAGGAGCATTCGGCTCCTCGGATAGTCCCAGGATGTTATCAGACAAGTATGGCTTGATCGCGGGTCGCCGCCCTCTGTTTGCGAGGCGTTTCGTTCCAGGCTAACCATGTCATCCGTCATGTTTAGGTATGTCGGCCTCATATTGGCCATTCTGTCAACAATGGCAATCGGTATGCTCTCTCTTCCCCATGCCCCGTCTCCAAATGCCACTGACCACGCCTTAGGCACCAGTTTTGTCATCACCAAAAAGGTTCGTTCGCCCTGTCGCTCTATCCCCCGATTCCAACGGCCTCGCCCGGGCGCCGGTCCTCCGCGGTCCCCGACACAACACTAACCAATGCCACCAACAGGGTTTGATGCAAGCCTCGGAGAGACATGGTTTCGAGGGCGAAGGATTCTCATATCTGAAAAGTCCCGTGTGGTGGGGAGGTGTTATTACATGTACGGACCCCGGATTCCCCCCCCAGCTGCGATTACTTCGGTCCCTGGACCAAAGAACGACCGGACTGACCGAGGATGGTAGTGGCATTGGGTGAAATCGCAAATTTCGCCGCATATGCGTTCGCTCCCGCGATTCTTGTGACGCCGCTGGGTGCGCTGAGCGTCTTGATCGGGTATGGAACGCCCCCTGCGCCCCGTGAGGTGGTGGTTGGGTTGACTCGCTAACGCTTCTCCAGCGCCGTTTTGGGATCATACTTCCTGCACGAGCGACTAGGGACACTGGGCAAGCTGGGTTGCGCCATGTGCCTGCTGGGATCGGTCGTCATCGTCCTTCATGCGCCCCCGGATAAGCCCGTTGATAGAATTGACGAGATTCTGGCCTACGCCTTGCAGCCCGGTACGTTGGTCACGGACTTCTCTCGCGAGATCGCGCGGCACCGTACTAATCCAGCGTCTTTCGCAGGTTTCCTTCTCTACTGCGTCGTGGTATCCGTTTTCTCGACCGTTATGATCTATCGTGTTGCGCCCGCGCACGGGAAGAAGAACCCCCTCATCTACATTTCGATCTGCTCCACCGTCGGCTCCGTCTCCGTCATGTCCGTCAAGGCCTTCGGCATCGCGGTCAAGCTCACACTGGGCGGCAACAACCAATTCACCCACGCCTCGACCTACGTCTTTATGATCGTGACCGGCTTCTGTATCCTGACGCAGATGAACTACTTCAACAAGGCCCTGAACCAGTTCTCTACCACGATGTAAGTTGACCGCTCGCCCCACCCGCCGAAACTGGCGCTAATGGATTGGGACAGCGTGAACCCGCTGTACTATGTCACTTTCACCACCGCCACGCTGTGTGCCTCCTTCATCCTCTTCAAGGGCTTCAACACCACCGAAGCCGTGAACACGATCTCGTTGCTCTGTGGCTTCTTGATCATCTTCTCGGGCGTCTACCTGTTGAACCTCTCGCGGTACGATCCTGACGGACACCAGCTGGTCAACCCCAAGATGGAGGACGACGGAGTGCCGACGGACGGCATCGCCGGCTACCAAACCCGGCGCTCGATGCAGACCCGCCGCAGCACTGACGGGCGGAATTCGGCCACCTACATGAATGGACATGGGGACCGGGAAGGTCTGATGCATGCCTATGACGTCGAAAACCAGGCATTCGGCATGTCTGACTTGACCGAGGAGAGCGATGGCGAACCAGGCCCGACATATAAGCGGGATGGGGAAGTTACACACACGTCGCATCCACCAGATAAACATGATGAGCGATAGTCTGCTACGACCGAATCGATCTTGTTTTTTGATCCTCTTTTTGCTTTTCTTTTACTTTTTCTTTTATTTTACTGATATTGCTTGACGAACAAACATATCGTGGTTACGTTTTTCCTTGTCTGTCTGTTTCCCTTTTTTTTTTTTTTTAACTTTCTATTTTCTCCTTCTCATTTTGCCGATACTTGGCCGTCTTATGTCCCTCGCTTGATTTGCTATCCCTTGGATACATTGTATTTTTATTTCGTTCCGCGCGCATGGAGATACCAGCAAGAGAGACTAGACATGCTCATGAATGACTGGATTGGGACGCTGTTTGGGACTGGTGTGGGCATGATATACACCGTTGATCGGGTAGTCACACTCCCTGCAAACCGACTTGAAATGTATATAGTGGTGTAAAATCCCGAAATTTATCTTTTGAGACGGTTTCCATGAACTCTATCTTCGAATCTCCCTCACGCCAAAACTCCTTGAGAGGGGAAAATGGTGGGGACCACGTGGCGGAGATTGGAGTTGGTGACGATGTCGACCGAGCGGCCCACATGGGGTGGTGGTTTGCAGCCGAGATCAGCTGTCCCGCTCACTCACCGTTGCGATCGTCGTCTGCCACAACTACTCGTACTCTCCCTTAACCCGCCTACCTACCCACCGCGATCCATTCTTGAAATCCAAGCAGGGAGTGATGAAACCCAGCGGACCTCGCAACGTATTTGGAGTACTCGACAGGAAGACGTAACCGACTCTCTCCTCCCACCCCACTCCCCCGCACGAAAATCAATGCCACCACCATGCCCGGCCTGCTACGAAAACTGGTCATCTTCGCAGCGGTAGACGGCCTCATCCTGCAGCCCCCGGTCGCGAACCTGAGAAATTACGGAAACAATGATTCCGCCCTACTCATCGACTACAAGACCGGCCGGGTCTCGTCGCTGCCGGCTTCCGCGTCGGAGTTGAGTGAGCGCGATTCGGGGCTGGAGTCGTATGGTCTTGTTGGTAGGGTTGCCAGTGTTTTTACTTGCTTTGGAATATACTCACTTTGAGCTTGCGGCCACGGCGCTATTATGACTATGCTAAGCAAATACACCCGATGAATAGGCCTCTTGTCCGTCGCGTCGTATTCGTTCCTGATCGCCATCACGCAGCGGCAGCAGGTGGCGCAGATTCAAGGAAAACCGGTTTACGCTGTCACTAATATTGCGGTTATCCCGACGTCGTCGCTGAAAGATGCCTCGCATGCGATTGCCCAAGCGAGGGAGAGTTCCCGGCAGGGGGACGACGACGACGACGAGCAAGACGAGATAGAGTCGGATGGCACGGCGTCGGATTCGGAGACCGATGCGGGGGACACCGATGTTGGCACCGCGCCGTCCTCGCCGGTCCAGACAGAGCACTCTTTGCACAATCGATCGAATAGCATCGCGGAGGACGTGATGGGGAAACGGGTTCCCTTTGGTCGCTTCGCGGCCAACTGGCTGTCGAGGAAGACGCTGGGATTGCCGGGGCTCGGGACGGTCGATCATGATGGCAATGGGTCGATGCTGGATACGAAGGATGCGGATGTACAGGGTAGTCCGACGGGATCTGATACGGAAGAGGCGCTGGCTGCGTCGGGGAGTGAATCGAGTCCTGAGAGGGGAGAGGGCCCGTCGTCTTCGCCGTCGGTTGTGGAGCTGTTGCCCAAGTTGTTGCGCTATACGAAGCTGATCTTTGCGTCGCATAATTTCTTCTTCGCTTATGATTATGATCTTACGAGAAATTATGGAACGAGTGATCTGTCGGCTAAGAGCTTGCTGCCGCCGCATAAGGTTGCTGATGAGTTGGTATGTGTGAGGGTGTTGACCACGGGTTTGATGTCGTTCGCTAATGGTGGATTATTGCAGTATTTTTGGAATCGGCATCTCATGGCGCCTTTTATCGGAGCGGGCGCTCATAGTTACGTGCTACCGCTTATGCAGGGGTTTGTCGGCCAGCGCGAATTCACCGTCGCTGGTGCTGGACGCCCGTCTACTGAGGCATCTGATTCGGCTAGGCCGGAGGGCCAGATGCTGGGCGAGACATCTGCGGCAGAGGCCATGGAGGCCGCTGCGAACAAGCGGGACTTCCTGCTCACGTTGATCTCACGACGGTCGGTCAAGCGTCCCGGACTGCGCTATCTCAGACGCGGGGTCGACGATGATGGAAACACCGCCAACACCGTGGAGACGGAGCAGATCCTTTCGGTTCCCGACTGGGATCCTGCGCACCGGGTATACTCCTATCTCCAGATCCGCGGGTCCATTCCACTGTACTTTTCTCAGTCGCCGTATGCGCTCAAGCCGGTTCCTATACTCCATCACTCGACCGAGACGAACGAATTGGCGTTTGAGAAGCATTTCCGGAGCCTCAGCCGGAGGTACGGGAAGGTCCAGGCCGTGTCCCTCATCGACAAGCTGGCTGGAGAGTTGAAGCTAGGCAATGAGTTTGACAAGTACACCAAGTCTCTCAACGAGGCCGGGGGGATCGAGGGCAAGCCACTGGGCCTGGAGTGGTTCGACTTCCATAGCGAATGCCGGGGAATGAAATTCGAGAACGTGAGTCGACTCGTCGACCGTCTGAAGCCCACGCTCGAGGAGTACGGCGACACGATGGTCCAGAGCAACACAGTCCTCCGGACCCAAGCCGGCATCATCCGGACCAACTGCATGGACTGCCTCGACCGCACCGGCGTGGCGCAATGCGCCTTTGCCCAATGGGCACTGGAGCGAGAACTGCAATCCGAAGGCATCGATCTCGACCTGGCCAGCGACTCCTCCACGCAGTGGTTCAACACCCTCTGGGCCGACAACGGCGACGCCATCTCCAAGCAGTACTCCTCAACGGCGGCCCTCAAAGGCGACTACACGCGGACCCGAAAGCGCGACTACCGCGGGGCGCTGAACGACTTCGGCCTCACGCTCACCCGGTACTTCAACAACATCGTCAACGACTACTTCTCGCAAGCCTGCATCGACTACCTCCTCGGCAACGTCTCCACCCAAGTCTTCCAAGAATTCGCCACAGAGCTCCAAACCGCCGACCCAGGCATCTCTGTCCAAAAGCTCCGCCAGAACGCCATCGACACAAGCTGCCGCATCGTAATCAGCGACCCGTCCGAAGAATTCCTCGGCGGCTGGACAATGCTCACCCCGCGCGAGCCCAACACCCTCCGTACCCTCCCCTTCGAAGAATCCGTCCTCCTCCTCACAGACGCCGCCGTCTACAACTGCCGCTTCGACTGGGACACCGACAAAGTGATGTCCTCCGAGCGGGTCTCCCTGCGCTCCATCTCGCGCATCAGCCACGGCACATACATCACCTCCACACTGACAACCGCACAGACCGCCGAGCGCCACAACGTCGGCCTCGTCATCGAGTACCGCGAAGGCGACTCGCACGACCTCCGCGTCAACACCCGCTCCCTTCACAGCAGCGTCGACACCACAGCCCTCGACAAGAACAGCGCGGCCCACTCCTCCGAATGGCCCGTCTCCTCCTGGTTCAAGGGCCTGCGCGCGCCGACCGCCCGGATCATGGCCTTCAAGGCGCTCCCTGTTTCGAATTCTGTAACCCAGACGAAGAACCCGGGGAGTCCGGCGGTGAGTGAGGGCGATTGGGTCAGGTCGATTTGCGAGGAGATTCAGCGGGCGATTGTGGCCAGCCCGGACACGGAAGGCCCTGATCAACTTGTTGTTGAGAAGGGAGAGATTATCTCGTTGGAGGATGCGAGGAAGAGAACGGGCATCTTGGAGACGCTTGTGCATGATGTGAAGAAGTTGGTGTGGGCTTGACCTGTTTCTCTCTCCCCCGACGGGTTTATTGCTTTCCCTGTGCGACTGTTTTCAGGTCGACTTTCTTCGGTTGACTGTTTCTTCCCAGTTTATGTCTTCTCGCAGTTGTGGATTGCATATTTTGCACATATTTTGCACATTTATATTCATAGTTATGACTATCATTGTGGATGCGTTAGTTGGTGCAGAGGTTTGCTTGGTTGTGCATATGAGTTTGATGATTTATGATAGTTAGTTGATAGTTGATATTCTAGTCTCTGGCGAGAGATAGTGTTAATAGTGTTAATAGTATCAAGTATATCTTTTAACATGGTGCATGGTGAATTGACTTGATGTTTCTATAGACACATCTATAGTCCCTCATCTCACACTATTATCATATCACATCACATCAGATCCTCACATCATTATCATTATCATATCCTCACACCATTATCATCACCATCATCATAATCTAGTAAACGTGGTATATCCAAACCTCTACCAAACACACCCTAATCAACCAAAACCAACACCACCACCACCAGCACCAACTACCCGTTCCCCCCGAGGCACAACCCCCCTCAACCCCCCCAAAACCACAGGATCCAACCCCACCCCAACACCCCCCACCCACCCGCCCATCCTGCACCCCTCCCTAAAATGCCCCGCCAAATGATCCGCCCTCTCCGCCCAGCTCTGCAAATCCATCCCACAAAACCCACACACGCTGCAGATGTCGGGGCGCGCGCGGCGCCACTCGTCTAGGGAGAACGGAAGCGGTTGCGGTTTTGTGCAGGAGTGGTATTTGCGGAGGTGTTGCGCGAGGTGGTCTCTTCTGGTGAAGGTGCGTTCGTGGACGGGGCGGGAGGCGCAGGTTTGGAATTCGTGGGTGGGGAAGTGGGTGGGTGGGGGGGAGGAGAGGGGGCAGAAGGGGCATTCTTGTTCGTTTGGGTTCGGGTTGTGGGTGGTGTGGTTGTTCTTAGGGTTGAAGGAAGATGATGGGGAGGGATTGGCATCGGGTTTTGTATCGGGGTTGAAGGAGGGAAAAGGAGGGAGGAGTTGGTTTAGATCTGGGGTGCATATCCAGGTTGTTATGGGGGGCAGGTGGATGGTGGTTTCGTGGCGGGTCCAGTCGCTTTTCTTTTTGAAGGATTTGGGACAGAAGGTGCATTCGAATTGGTGGTGGCTTGTTTTGGCCGTTGGTGATGAGGACGATATTGGGCGGCCGCGTTGGCGGTGTCTGTTGGAGGAGGAGGACCATGGGGAGTCTCTATGTGCAGGTGAGGAGCCATGGCTCCATGCGGAGGAGACGCTGCTGGAAGAGGTCTCAGAGTGGTGACTTCCCAGTCCACTACCAGAGAGAGAGGAGTCAAAGCACGAGGACATCTCGTCAAAGTTCAGAAACGCATCCGCAAAAGATTCATCTGTCTGCGCAGACGCCGAAGACGCAGCCGATCCCGCAGGTCCCGATGAAGCCGCTAGGGCATCTCTAATAATAGACTCCGGCACAGCCTCATCATCCGGCGGCGAAGCCTCCCACCGCTCGAGCGGAGTCATAGACGTCCAGCGGCCGACGACAGGCTGCGGCATGGGAGACCCAGCGCGGGTAACCCGGGGGGTGATAGCAGACTGGACCTTGAGGCGCTGGCGACGGCGCGCGTTAGCGAACCAGGTGGAGACGCGTTTGGCAGTGAAGCCTGTTTCGCGCGCGAGGTGCGCCTTTTGCTCGTCGGTTGGGTAGGGGTGTTCTTGATTTTGGGAGAACCAGGCGCGGAGGACGCGGGCGCCTTTGCGGATGAAGTGCTTGGAGTCTGTCGGGGCTGACTCATTTTCATTCTGGCTGGCCGAGACGCCTGGAGTGATAGGGATGCTCGTGATTGTCGGTTGTGGTGCTAAGCTATCACCACCCTCTTCGGTGACCCCGTGCAGGTGCCCTAGGACCGGCACCTCTGTCTCAAACCGAGACGGTTGGCGCTTTTCGCCGAGGGCGAGGCTGCATTCGCGGAAGAGCGCCGCGCAGCTGGAGCATGATGTGATGGGGTTGGGGTTAGCCGATGTCGTGCGTAAGATCAAGCACTGCAGTTTGTGTCTGCGACAGTAACTGCATGGGTGGGGAGGAGAGTAAGCGCCGTCGAGCCATTGGGAGACGTCGGAGAACCCACGACTAGGATGGCGTAGATTGACGGTCGTAGTAGGATTGGCGGGTGGGATGAACTCGTTGTTGGGTTCTTGTGTTGTGAAGCCACCACCTTGATTGGGAGGTGAGAACACGGTGTTAGGGTCCAGAGTGTTGCTCTCTGCAAAGTCCCATTGCAGTTCAGACTGATTTGTAGACGAGTAGTATGTATCGTGGGTGAACAAGTCCCAGTCGAAAAATGGACACTCTTCTTCTGTCGCCACTGTATTTCTCTCGTCGTCGGGTCCGACAGAGAAGGCTGTACCTTGTCCAGACAGAGCCAAAGGGTCCAGTCCCATACGATCGACCATCTCGGATACACCGCGTTCTGTCGAGGGGAAGTGATGAGTCGTTGAGATAGATTTGATAGATATGCGTCGTTGATAAGAAGAGGCGCGGCTGACTCAGCGAGCAAAAGTGGGCAGTCTAGCCGGTTATAGTCTAGTATATTCTCTATCTATATCTACAGCGCATCTTCTACTTCTTCATTTCTACTTGTTCTACTTCTTGCTCAATATCATGCTGAAATAACTTGATGATGTCTATCTTTCTCTATTTATTACCAGTATATGGATATGTACAACGATCTGGCACATGTTCTATTAGCCGCAAAACTCACGGATGAGCTTCTCAAAAACAAGCTGCAGCTTCTGCAAGCTCTCAACCTCCACCCACTCCTCCTTTCCATGTAACCCATGTCCCTTGGGACCATATACGACGGACGGAATCCCCTCACGACTGAGCAGCGCAGCATCGCACCAGAAAGCCGCAGCAGACGGTGTCGACCGACGTCCAAAAACAGTAGTTTCGCAAGCCCCAACCATCTCAACAAACGGATGGTCCGTGGGCAGCTTTTGGGTCGGACGGGCCATCGTAATGCGGGGTGCTGCGTACCGGAACTGTGAGTTTTCCTGGACAATGTCTTCCAACATCGAGTTGAGGTCCGACAGAATGGACTCTTCCGTTTGCACAGTGACAGTCCGGAACTCAACTGTCACGGTGCACTTGGCTGGGTAGGACGATGGCTCCTCGCCGCCTTGGATCAGGCCGCAGTGTAGGGATGCAGCGCCCAGCGTGTCGTCGACGGGGAGCGAACGCTGATACTGCTCCAGGGCCCGGAGGAACCACCCGGCTAAGAGAATGGCGTCCTTTCCGTTGGCCGGGTCGGACCCGTGAGCGGCAACGCCGAGGATGTCGATCTCAACCCATATGAACCCCTTGTGTGTGGTCATGAGCGTCTCCATGGTCGGCTCGGGGATCACGGCGGCGTCTGCCCGCCACCCCGCAGCGAGTACATCCCGTGTGCCTTGAGAAGCGTCTTCCTCGTCGGAAACCGCCGTCACGATGATGTCGCCACGGGGAAGGTTTCCGCTGGCCTTGACCGAGGCCAGGGAAGCTAGAGCTGCTGCTAGTCCGCCTTTCATGTCGAGAGAGCCACGGCCCAGAACCACCTGTCGACCGTCACGTTCGCCGAGTGACCCGGCCAGGGCATCTTTCTCGTAGCTGGAAAGGCTGACCGTGTCAACGTGGCCATTGAACATTAGCGAACGGCCCTCGCCAGTGCCGCGCATGACACCCACAATGGACGGTCGGCCAGGGACGGTTTCAATCCGGTGATGTTCAATGCCGCGGTGGGCGAACCACCCAGCTAGGTAGTCCACGATTTGGTCTTCCCCAATACCGTCGGTCACGGATAGAGATGGATTGGAGGAATTGACGGTGGTGAGAACCTGCGTCAGACCAACCGAGTCCTCGACAGTAACGTCCAATGGAGTTGGATAGGGCCGTGGTCCTTCCGTACTAAGCAAGACGACAACGGCATCCGAGCCTAGGAAACTTGTCTCGCTCGTAGCAGCAAGGCGTCGTAGTGCAGCAAGCGACGCAGCACCGCACGGTCCAGCCGCCACGGATTGCGTCGCGAGATACTGAATCGCGCCGTGAGTCTCCTGGCACGAGACCGTCACACACGAGTCGACGAATCGCTGAAGATCAGGCCACGCAGTAGCGGAAACCGTCCCGCAGTTCATGCCATCCATGATCGTTGACGAAGAGTCGACGCTCACTGATTTTCCGATCGTCAAACTGGAGTGTAAGCAGGCCGCCGTATCCGGCTCGACGGCCACCATCGTCGCCGGCGAGTCCCGAGACTTGCAGTACTTTGCGACAGCATGAGCAAGGCTGCCCACCCCAACTGGGGACACCATCACGCTGCACTTCAAGCCCTTCTCCGTCAACTGCTCTTCCACCTCTGCCATCATCGTCGAGTATCCCTCCACGATCCACGACGGGACTTCTTCGTATCCCGCGAACGCGGTATCCTGAACGAGGAGTCCCCCGTCCATAGCCTTGACAGCATCTGCAGCCTCCTGCACCGCCTGATCATATCCGCTCCGGACCACGATAATATTGGCACCCTCCCTAGCAATGAGTCCGCGCGTAGTCTCGTCCATCGCTTGAGGTACATAGATACGCGCCCCGAGACCCAGCAATCTCGCCATGAACGCAACAGCGCGACCATGATTACCGTCCGTCGCAGCGACCAACGTTAGCGGAGTGCCCTTCAAACGCTCCGCCAACTCATCCAAACTAATAGTAGGCGACTGGCCTAAATGCGCCACGATAGCCCTATAACACCCCCACGACGCACCCAGCACCTTGAAAGCTGGGAGTCCAAACCGGTCACTCTCATCTTTAACAAACACAGCACGAACGCCAATTTGCGCTGCCAGCTCTGGTAAAGACGTTAAGCGCGTGGGTTTATACCTAGGAAGCGACTGATGGAATGCCTTGAGCGACGCTGTTTGGGGTTCTGCGCAGCGCGCTGTCGCGGCGGCGGGATTGAAGTATACGGGTCGTCGGGAGGACATGGTGGACGATGTGGATTAAACGTAATTATCACAAGACATGCATGTAATATTGGGAATGCGTGAGGATGAGAAGGTGCTTTTCCTGAGTGGAGGGTCGATTTATTGATCGCTGTATATAGAACATTCCCCGCGCGCCTTCCCGCGACATCGTGGGTCTTGCAGGATGTTTTTTGCGCGCCTTCTCGAAATCATCTCCGCCACCAGTTTCTATGACAGGATAATCATCCACAGTTACACATATCTTATACTATAACCCAATTCTTTCTATTCCTGTTCTCTAAGGTTCAAGTGCGTCAGGACATTAAAACTTATAAAACAGCCAGCCATCATGGCCTCCACCAAATTCATCCCCAAACGGGCCCTCCTCTCCAACCCATCCAGAACCCTATCAACCACATCCAACCCCCCATCCGGCCTAAAAATCAACTCCTCCCGACTCTGGGAAAGCATCCACCAAACATGCAACCAATGGGGCGCTGCCCATCGCTACGGACCGTAAGCCTGTCTCTCCATCCCCCCATTTCAATAGATCCTAACACGCCCCAGCCACCCCGAAGAAACAGGCATGGCGCGCCTAACACTAACAGACGACGACGCGCACGCGCGGCGCTGGCTCGCCGACGAGGTCCACAAACTGGGCTGCTCGCTGCAAGTCGACCAGATGGGCAACATGTTCGCGCGCCAGGCGGGCTCGCTGCGCTCGTCTGCGCCTATGATCGCCATGGGCAGCCATCTGGACACGCAGCCGCGGGGCGGGCGGTATGATGGCGTGCTGGGTGTGATGGCTGCGTTGGAGGTGTTGCGCACGATGAAGGAGAGTGGGTTTCGGACGGGGTTTGATGTCGGGTTGGTTAATTGGACTAAGTATGTCCCTTATTCCTTGACCCTGGCTCTTTTGCTTGCTGCATGCGCACACCCGGGGGAAGTTAGGTACTGACAGTATAAAGCGAGGAAGGCGCGCGCTTCCCCAAATCAATGTGTTCCTCCGGCGTCTGGGCAGGCGCCATCCCCATCGAGCAAGCCTGGGACCTGCGCGATATCCAAAACCCGAAGGTGACGCTGCGCTCCGAACTCGAGCGCCACGGCTACCTCGGTGAACTGGCGTGCTCGAGCGATCCAGCGACGGGGTACCCGCTAGGCGCGCACTTCGAGCTACACATCGAGCAGGGCCCGATCCTGCAAGAAACAGGGCGCTCCATCGGCGTCGTGCAAGGCGCGCAGGGCTACAGATGGTTGAAGTTCACCGTGCACGGACGAGACGCGCACACAGGCACGACGCCGCTCAGCGCGCGCAAGGACCCGCTTCTCGCGGCCGCGAGGATGATCGCGGCATCGAACGATATCGCGCAGGCGCACGGCGCGTTGGCGTCGACGGGCGTTCTGCAGATCCCGTCGAATGCGTCTACTAACACTGTGGCGTCGGAGACGACCTTCACGCTGGATATCCGCCATCCCGAGGACAGCGTGGTGCACGCGGTGCAAGACGCGTGTCTGTCGGCTTTTGGGCGCATCGCGGCGCAAGATGGAAAGGGAGTCACCTTCGACTGGACGCTCGATACAGACTCGCCCGCTGCGAAGTTCGACGAGGGGTGCATCGGCGCTGTGCGTGATGCGGCTGAGGGGCTTGTTGGTGCTGATGGCTGGCTGGACATTACTAGTGGGGCGGGTCATGATAGTGTCTATACGAGTAAGCATTGTCCGACGACGATGATTTTTGTGCCGTGTCGGGATGGGGTTAGCCATCATCCGGAGGAGTATTGTCGGGCTGAGGATTGGTAAGTTGAGCTTCCTGGGTTGTTTGAATTTGAGGAATGGTGGGGTTGCTAATGGTTTTTGTGCAGTGCTATCGGTACGCAGGCTTTGTTGGAGGCGGTCGTTAGGTATGACCGGTCTATGGTGGAGAAGTCTTGATTTGTTGGGTTAGCAGTCATATCAGGCTTGACTAGCATGCTGGTTCATATTTGGGGTAGGGACTGGGATGATTTGAAGGTTGGTATGGGATTAGCGAATATTACCAATTGACGATTCGTATTAAGAGGCGTAGATAAAAGGTGCATATTCTTTACTAATGTGTTCCATTCTTCGAAAGAAAGTTGATGAAATAACTCAATATACAAATATTAATTAGAAATACCTACAGCCCACATATAAGAACACACATCGAGAAAAAAAAGCCATCATGCCCAACCAAACCCAGATTGTAAAAACTACCGCACCTTCTTAGGCTCCTCGGCTACCTCATAACACCGCTCATCAGTCCCCTCGACCTCCTTGACAAGCCTATTCATCTCCTTAACCTGCTTGTCGATCTCGGACTGCGTCATGCGCGTCTCGCGGTTGAAAAGCGCGGCGTCGGGCTTGCGGTAGCTGCCTCCCAGACGATCCCACAGGGTGGTATACTGGCCGTAGTTGTAGTTGAAGTAGTAGTGGTGGATGGTGTGGCAGGCGGAGCCGTTGACTACGGGGGAGTTCATGGCGTATTCGCCGTCGTCTAATTGATCTCTGTTAGAGAGGCGTCTGCGCAACTGGGGAAGAAAAACAAGAAAAAAGGGGGGAGAGGAAAAGAGTAGGGGAGAACATACGAATCATAACGGTCCAAATCGTAACAAACATGAACAGCGCAAGATAGGCCCACTTCTGCAGCGGAAAGAGAAACGGATAAACATGGTAAGACACACTCTGCGCCCACCCGTCCAGCGGATGAAAGGCGTAACTCGCGAACGGCGTCGAGATAATCCACTTATGGTGCGGCTTGTGCAGGTTCTTATACACCCAAGGGTGGTGCAGCCCGCGGTGGATCCAGTAGATGCCGAAATCGGTGAAGAGGATGAAGAGCGGGAACTGGAGGACTGTGTAGAGGGGGAAGGGGGCGTCTGTGGAGAAGTCGTAGAGCTTGGTGTAGTCGCGTACCTCGGCGACGAAGAAGGGCGCTGTCAGTAAGGCCATTACTGGGATTGCGCTGTACGCTTGTTGCTTTTCGAGCTGGATTTGGTTGCGCAGGAACTTGGGGTGCTTCATGGAGCGTTTGTCGAAGACGAGGTGGAAGGAGATTGTTGCTGTTAGGTAGTAGAGGATGAGGGCGAAGAGCCTGGTGTAGTTGGTTTAGTCTCTCTTCTTCTTAATTATCATGTTCGTCCTCTTCTTAGAAAACGGAATGCATACCATGAGACGGCGAAGAGACTGAGGAATTGGCGGACAAGATGGTCTCTAGGCAAGAGACTTTCCGTCGCCCATTTTGACGGTTCCAGGGGCATGTAGCGATTGACTCGCTCGTTCAACGAGTTAGGAATCTCAGTGCCATTCATGGGAGTCCATTGGAACTGGTCTGTCGACTTGGGGAGGATCGTGGCGTAGAACCGGTCGAGTAGGAAAGTATCGAGGACATCAAGGAGGACGTCCATCATGAACACAATTGACGCCTATGCGGTGGGCTGTCAAGACTAGACTGGTAGCACAATCGGAGACATTTCGTGATATTTCTCTATATATAGGATATAGTACATCCGACACGTGAGGTCGGAAGGGTCAAGTTCCGTCAATGGCGAGACATGGGGAAAGATGGCTTTAGTAACGGGTGCCCTTGCAGTGGAATCGGCCCACCGTTCTGTATGACGGTACACTTATATATCACAGTGACTAATCTGCTAGTCCCATAGTAAACTAGAAGCAGACTGTTTCTCCTATTCTTGAAGCTATGGCGCCACTTATTCTAGGCTCCTATGTTTATAGGGAATTTGGTGGGTATTTGGACGGTCCAGGCCATTGACCGGAGTATGTACGGAGGATGATCATACCTGGTTATTCAGGCGAATATGGTCTGCCTACTTGAGATATTGATTCACCTTGATCTTTTTATCTGCCCATTGTATCGTGCATAGTCACGAGACATCTTGATCAATAGTTGAGTTTTAACCTTGTACTATTGGTCTTACAACAACTTATATAATGCAATATGTATCTAGGAATCGCCCTATCCAATACCTTAAATCTGCTTCAGAGTTCATCGATAGTCTCCATGACAGCTGTTTGGCTAGCCATAGTTTGGCATTTTGGAAGGTCATCCAAGCCTAAATGAACCTGGATTGAACTTGATAAGTGGAAAGGGATGCCATGCAAGGACAATACGAGCTGCCTGAGTCCACAGACAGTTGTGAACAATAGCCACTCTATCTATAAACTCTTATATGTTGTAAATCAAACAACAGCTGCTCTATAGTTAGAGAAACTTTGTAGTTTAAACAATATAATCAATCCCCACATGATTTGGATGCTCTTAGACATTGAGACCTTTCGTCTATATCCAGCCACTAAAATAGTGTTCAACAAACAGAATCTAGTATCCTGTTCTATACAGTCAAGCAATCAAAGCAAGTACAAAGATTGCACTGTTATCAAACCAACATCAATCAAGGATGGTTGCCAATTGTGTCGATCCATGATGGTATACAGAATACTATAGTTACATCACCATTGCCCCATAATCCGCGTAATTAAGGTAATATCGATACAAAACATACATCCCCGCCATAGCGATGTCTGTTACTAAATTACTACTCTGACTGAATCTTACGATACCACCTCCGTTGAACCCAACTTTCCCCGCCAAATGAGAACCCCTCCGTGTCTCCTTCTATACATTGTCTGAACCAACTGACACAAACAATGGGTCCTATGGGCTCATTCAAGCGGAGTGGTTGTCATGACAGACACATATCGTCCGAGGACACTATACCAAAACCAGATGGATGATCCAGTAGCGTTCAACCCTGAGTGGACAGGAACCGTCCATCCAACCAACCATAAAACTTTCATTATCTGGGATATGTGATGGTTCTGTCACAGCTGGTATTCAATCTTTGACCGTAATGTATGCCCCTCTATGCTCCTCCACTATGAACACTTCTTTGTCGTGTCCTTGCGATTGAAATTCCGATACCCGACAATGATCCCAATGTCAGATTTGGTCAGATAGTTTCTTGTGGCTGACATATAGATTTCCCTCCATGTGTACGGCGTAAGAAAATTCTGAGGGAGGTGGGTGTGGAACAGACGATAACCTATGATAGTGGAAATGCAAGGACGGCGGGGTTATCAAGACCTAGATTACCGCCAGAATTACCGTATTTCTCTTAGAAAAGGATGACCATACATACCTTACACTTACAACCCACCTCCCTCTTTCTCTCTCCCTCACTCTCTCACACTAACCGCACTTCCCTCCTCTCCTCTCTCTCTCTCTCCCCACCACCATCTCCTCCTCTTACTTTTCCTCTACTCTAATCCCGTCATTTCTCCTCGCCCTCCCTCTCTCCCCTCCTCCCCCCCCTCCTCCTCTCCTGCCTTTCCACCTTCATCATGGAGTGGCAACCTCAGGATGAGCCATTGAGGCAGCTTTCGGGCTGTCTCAAAGATTCTTTAAACGCTTATAATCGCACAGCCCAAAAGCAGGCTGAACAGGTCAGTTTCACTCCTCTTTCTCTTCTTTTTCCTTCTATATTTTCCTTTTCCCTTTCCCCTACTCTATCTCGCTTTACCTTGATATATGGTTTTCTTCTGCCCAGTTGACCACGCTCTATCCCCTCCCCCCCCACCATGTTACTATTTGACGATCAACTGCAATTCTTCCCCCTCCAGTATTAGAGAATAATATTTGGAAAAGCCGACTGACGTTGATGATCTCCATTAGATGCTAGTACAAGCAACCTCGTCACCGGATTATGTGAACTACCTTACGTATTTGTTTTCCACCCCGCAGGTCCCTCCTGCGGTGTCCATGGACGGCGAGACCTACAACTATGTGCGGTTCGCAGCCGCGATGAACCTGAAGACCAAGATTCACTTAGCATACAACACTATTCCCCAGCCGAGTTTGTCCTACATCCAGTCGGCCACCTTTATTGGTCTCCGCGACGCAAACAACCAGGTCCGCAACTCCGCGGGCAGCATTATTACCGAATTGGTTTCACAGGCGGGCTTGTTGGCTTGGCCCGAAGTCCTCCACCAACTCCTCTCTCTCGTGGATAATAGCTCTCAGGATGTCCCCGTCATGGTGCAGGAAGCCGCCATGTCCGCGCTGGCCAAGGTCTGCGAGGACAACCGTCGCATCCTGGATCGGGACTACCAGGGCCAATGTCCCCTGGACGTGATCATCCCGAAGCTCCTGGAATTCACCTCGAGCCCCAGTTCCAAGGTCCGATCCTTGGCGCTGAGCACCATCCACGTTTTCCTGCCCCACCGCCCCAAAGCCCTGATCGCCTCGATGGATTTGTTTCTTTCGCAGCTGTTCCAACTCGCCAACGACCAAAGTACCGATGTGCGACGCGAGGCCTGCCAGACCTTTGCGCAGCTCGTGGACTTTGCGCCCGAGAAACTGATTCCTCACATGGAGGGTCTGGTCAACTATATCATCATGCAGCAACAGAACCAGGAAGATCCCGAGCTGGCTCTGGATGCCGCAGAGTTCTGGCTCGTGGCCGGTGAACAGGCGAAGCTGCAGCAACCGCTGGCCCCCCACATGTCGAAGATCGTGCCGGTGCTCCTGCAGAATATGGTCTATGATGAGGACGAAGCCATCCGCCTGACGAACGAGGGCGACGACGCCGACGAGGAAGACCGTGTGGAAGATCTCAAACCGCAGTTCGCCAAGTCGAAGGGCGCCCGCATGGATGGGTCGAAGACGGAGGCGCAGGCCAACGGCAATGCGCCGCCCGCCGCGGAGGACGAGGATGATGAGTTGAGTGAAGGCGAGATCGAAGATTCCGAGTTCGGGGACGACCCCGAGGGCGAGTGGACTTTGCGGAAATGTTCCGCGGCCGCCTTGGACATCTTCGCCAACGTCTACCACCAGCCCATCTTCGAAGTCATTCTGCCCTACTTGAAGGAGACCATTCGCCACGAGCAGTGGCCCCAGCGCGAAGCCGCTGTCCTCACCCTAGGTGCCGTGGCCGACGGATGCATGGATGCCGTCACCCCCCACCTGCCGGAGTTGGTCCCGTACCTGATTTCCTTGCTGAACGACTCGCAACCCGTCGTCCGACAGATCACCTGCTGGTGCCTGGGTCGGTACTCCGAGTGGGCCTCGCACCTGGCGGACCCCTCCGAGCGAGCCCGTTTCTTCGAGCCCATGATGGAGGGCATCTTGCACCGCATGTTGGACAACAACAAGAAGGTACAGGAGGCGGCCGCCTCGGCCTTTGCCAGTCTGGAGGAGAAGTCCGATGCGAACCTGATCCCGTACTGCGAGCCGATCCTTCGCCAGTTCGTCCAGTGCTTCGGAAAATACAAGGATCGCAACATGTACATTCTGTACGACTGCGTGCAGACTCTGGCGGAGTGTGTCATGGCAGAACTGGCCAAGCCCCACCTGGTGGAAATCCTCATGCCCGCTCTCATTGATCGGTACAACATGGTGTCGGATCAGTCCCGGGAGCTCTTCCCTCTGCTGGAGTGCTTGGGGTACGTCGCTGCCGCCTACGGCGATGCCTTTTCGCCCTTCGCGGCCCCTCTCTTCCAGCGGTGCACCAAGATCATCTACGAGAATCTCCAGGGTTATATGGCTTCGGTGAACAACCAGGCGATCGATGAACCTGACAAGGACTTCCTCGTCACGAGCTTGGACTTGCTGAGTGCGATCATCCAAGCCATCGATCCGCGCAAGAGTGGCGAGCTGGTGAACGGCTCGCAGCCCCGGTTCTTTGATCTTCTCTGCTTCTGCATGGAGGACCCCAACTACGAGGTTCGCCAGTCATCATACGCCTTGCTGGGTGACTGCGCCATCAGCATCTTCCCCCAACTCGAACAGTTCATCCCCAACGTGGTTCCTATCTTGATCAAGCAGCTCGATCTTGACTTGATCCGGGACGATGATCGCCACACGGGATTCAGTGTCCTCAACAATGCCTGCTGGTCCTGCGGAGAGATTGCCGTCAACGAGAAGGCAGCCTTGTCGCCGTACGTGGAGAAGCTGTACCAGGGCTTGCTCGCTATCCTCAACAACGAGGAGATCATTGACTCGGTGATCGAGAACGCTGCCATGGCACTGGGCCGACTTGGGATCTGTTGCTCGGATCAGCTCGCTCCGCATCTGGGCGAGTATGCCGGGGTGTTCCTGAAGTCGATGAGTCGGATTGACTTCACGCGGGAAAAGGCGTCTGCCTTCTTGGGCTTCAACCAGGTCGTCATGAAGAACCCGCAGGCCATGGAGGCATGCTTGGTCCAGTACTTCCAGGCCATCGCATCCTTCCCGGCTAAGACGATCAGTCAAGAGGACTACCGTGACATCCAGAGCTCTTTCCAGCAGGTAAGCGTCCAATGTGCGAAGTGGCGGGTTTTCCGGTACTAACTGCTGCATAGGTCCTGCAAGGCTACAAAAATATGATACCCGATTTTGATTCCTTCCTCTCGCAACTTCCGGCCCATGTTGCGCAGAAGCTTCGTTCTGTATACCAGGTTTAGATCTATATGCGGCATTTGTGATTTCAACCTTTCTTTTTCGTCCCTTGGGGATATATCATGGCGAAAGGCGTAATCAAAATTGCATTATGCATGTGGTCTTTCTCTTTTTCTCTTTCTCTTTCTCCTTTTCTCTCTTTCCCTCTTTCCCCCGTTCTCTCCTTCTTCTCTTTCTATTCCGGACCAGACCTATGTGCTGGAGGAACTGCCGATATCGACCCCTTGGACATACGTTTCCTGCTTCTGGCCTGTGGCGTGCTCTTTTTTTTTTCCGTCTAATCTTTGATTGATTGTTTGATCAACACTGAGAGTCGATCGGACGAAGGATGCAACATGTGATGAAAATTCTGTCTTGTTTTCTCTTTTTATGTTCTGTTTTTTTTTTTAAAAGCCCGAAATGTTTCAAGCCTGGGAATCACCTTCAGATCTAAGGAAAATATATACCAGGGAAGAGAAGGAAATGAATGAATGGAATGGAAATGGAACAAATGAAGCGATGCGTAACGGACTACTCTCACGACCATGACCTGACCACCCCCGGGTACCTTACTACCTACTACCTCCTACCTGTATCATTTTCATTATGGGATAGACTAGGTACCTTCTTTACCTTACCTTAGTAGGAACTCCAATTAGATAGATACCAATGTTTATTGTATTCCAACAACCAAAGATCAGCATAGTTATACTGGGATGGACCTGCACCACTTAGCTACCACCCAGGTATCTACACGCTGTATCCATAATGAATGGATTTTCCAATTCCACAACTCCAGCCGCGAAAATATGTTACAGGCTGTAACTCAACCAACCGTACCCACATATACCTACCTACCTACCTATGCTAATTCCAGACCCAGTCTCCACAGTTGGTCATCGTGTAAACCCATCGGAAAGAGGGGGGAAGAGGAACAGGGAGCGCAAAGGAAGGCAATAGGTAGCAAACAGACGGAGATTCAATGATCAAGATGATGATGGACGGTGGTGATGGTGGTAGACATTTCAGCCGCACAAGGCTCGGACTAGTTCTCCCCAAGAGGGTGATGGGCCATGTCTGTCCATGTCATGCGGATGAATGACGGATTGAAATTAGCTTTTTGTTATGTTGATGAGTTGAAACTAGAGGCATCGTCGTCGAGGTCACTTCACTTCCTGGCCCCCTTCACTTTACTCTACTAGCTGGAGATAGACGGGGATGGAAGTTAGGGAATGCACCGAGGGAGGGAAAATGAAATCAAAAATCCAAACGAGATAAAATGACGTAAAAAAAAAAGCTATGAAGAGTAGGATAGTTAGTTCACTTCTCGACAAGAATAGAAACAGAGTCCGTCCTCCGTATACGATGACAGGAATAGCTCTCTGCTTTCTATATCTGTTTCTATATCTATCCATCTATACGTAAATCTCTATCTTGGTATATGCATCTCGCAACATGCCGCCTCTAAAGGAAGGCAGAGACGGGGTAAGCCGCTTTCTTTCTTCTTGATTTCTGCTTGGTAGCTAACTAACTAACTAACTACATGCTACGAAGTAGTTCGCTCCTAACTAGCTAGCGTGATGTGAAAAAGGCGACGAGACGATGAGACGAAGGGAGATGAGAGGAACATCATGTCTTGGCCGTCAAAAACTTTTATATAAAAATATCAAAAAAAAAATAAATATATAAATATTCGGACACCACATCCAGTTAGCCCACCCACCCCGCCCCAGAAACCAAGCAAGCAATCCATTAGCCCATTCCAAAACCGCACTCAACCCAGCTAGTTCGCTCTCCACTCGGAATGACCACATAACTAGCAACTAGCTGCATCTACTAAACCTCCAGGGATCACGCATGCGGTGGTTTTCCCCGAGATTCACTCGCCCCTAGGGACAGGGACAGGACAGGCAGGGACTATCACTAGTATCACGACAGGGCAGGTGTGTGGTCCTGCGACTAGCATCACAGTCTTTACTGTACTAGGTTTAGACGGTAGGGCTAAGTGGGGGTGGTAAGGCTAAGTATAGAAATAAACCTCGGGTTTTTGAGATTGTGGGAAGGATTTTGAGTATCTAGCTTTAGCTTTTTGCTTTCGCTTTTCGTGGTTCGTTCGCCTTTGGGGGCGGGTATTTATAGATTGGGATTGTATGTAACTTGGGTTGGTTAGTGAGTGGGTTACAACTTACTGGGTTAGTTGGTGGGTTGGTTTGGGAATGAGTGGGTGCGATGGTGGGGAAGGGACTGGAGCACAGACGAGGTCTATGCCTGGGTTGTTATTATTATCTTGGGATGGGGGATACTGTTAAGATATGAGGTACCAATGCTATTCTGTATAGTGCTATTGTTACTATACTAGTTGCTACATGATGATCAGGTACACTGGATTATTTGAGTCATCAATGATGTCCTGCTGGAGAGCTAAGATAGATATTTGAGTATATACTATGTAGAAACGACTCGACGACGGTCAATTCAGGTTAGATGCCACCAGGATTCGAGTACCTACAGTAGTATCAACTTTGTAGGTTAGGTTTCCATGTAGCTGGGCAAACCTCGATGGAAATCGTCACAGGGAGTATGCAATGCGGGCTGGGGATAGGAGGAGGGGGGGGGGGGGGGGGGACCAAACTAGTTGAGAGGACGGACCGTTTCATACTAATTTTGTGATAGATGGATGTTTCGATTTGATTTTATTATGT